TTGTGTTAAGAACTTAGGACACACATTACTTGATTCATAGATATTTAATAATAGTTATATTTTATTATTTTAGGTTTTTTTTTTTTTTAGATAATTCTCACTCTATGGCCTTGTTGGCCATATCTGGAACTTAGTATGTAGACTAGACTATCCTTGAACTCATAGACATCTACCTGTCTCTGCATCCTCAGTGCTGGGATTAGAGGCCCGTGCCACTATACCCAGCTCTTACATTTTCTTGATGAATTATTCCCTTTATTAATATATAGTGATAATCTCTTCTAACTAGTTTTGGTTTGAAGTCTATTTTATCAGATATGAGAATTATAATAGCATGTCATGTTATTTGCGGTCGATAGATTTCCAGCTTTTGGATGTCTTTTACTAGATATGTATGTGTTTTTGCTAGGTATATGTGTTTCTTGGGAATAACAGTTGCATGACTCAATTTGTTTTACTTTATTCAGTTACTCTGCATCTTTTAACTAGCAACTTGAGGTCATTTGCATTTAAAGTTATTGTTGAAAGGGATTTGCTATTTCTACTATGATTTTTTGATTGTTGTTCTGGTTTGATGGATTATTGATTATTCTTTTCTTCTTCCCCTGTTAGTATTAGGGGTTTGGTGGTTTTCTATGTTAGAACATGACTGATTCCTTCCTGGCTTGCTTCTCTTCTTTTGTTTCTTTCATAAAATATGTTTATTCCTGTCTCCTTACGGGTGAGAGTATCTTTCTTCTTTTGCTGTGCATAGTTTTTCTTTAAGGATTTTTCTACAGTGCTGGTTTGGTTGTCATGAATTAATTGCCTTACTTATGCTTGTCTTGAAATGTTCTGTTTCTTCATCTTAAATTTTTAAATTAAATTTTTTTTTGAGAATTTCATTGGATAAGTTGTCTCAATTCTCTCTTGTACTCCAGGAATTTTATTTTGGTCTGTTGAACATTATCTCAGAGTTCTTAAATGTTTTGGTTACATTCACTAAGTTTTTTCTTTATATGTATCTGTGCATATTGTCATCTCTACTTCATTCTCCATCCCTAAAATTCCTTCTGCTTGTTTTCATCTATTGATGGTCCTTTCTATTATGTTTTTTTTTATCTGATTGATTCATCCATTTCTAGAATTTCTGTTTGATTCTTTTTCTACTTCTCAACTTTATTGACTTTTTCTTCCTGTTTTTAATTTTTTTCTTCCAGTTATTGACATTTTTTATCCACTATATAAGTTTCTTGTCTAGGTCCTGAATTGACTACTTATTTATCTGCTTATTTAAGTAATCTATATGTTCATTGATCTTTTTTAAAAGTAGAACTGGGATATTTTTGTGATATTTTAGCCATATTCCATTATTTTTGTTTTCTAGTATAGAGAAGTCATGTTCTTGTGAGGATATTTCAGCTGATAGCTGTCTGATTTTTGTGTTCCTTTGTTGAGTTTTGCATATTAGTTGGAATGAATGTAATCTCCGGTTTTTTTCTCCTTTTCCTCACTGTTTTTGTTTGTTTTCTTTTACATGAATTCTCCAGTTGAATTTTCTTCACTTGGATTGAAGCTGACCAAAAAAAAAAAAAATTTGATGACAGATGTTCTAATAATAACTGTAGAAGAAGACACTTGTACACTTCACTTGTTTCCCTGTAAAGTTCTTAGACAATTAGCTGGATGTCTTAGCTGGTCTTTGGTTTTCATTAGAATCCTGAAGAAGTAGTTTCTAATACTAAGGAAGTGATACTTCAGCAGCATAATAGATGAACTTGACAGTGGGAATGAGAGCAAGCAGGCAAAAAACAAAAGCTTTCTTCTTCCATGTCCTTTTATGTGGCTGCCACCAGAAGGTGTGGCTCACATTTAGGGTGGTTTCTGTCTTAGTCACTATTCTATTGATGTGAAGAGATACCATGACCAAGGCAACTTTTTGTTGTTGTTGCTGTTGTTTTTTTTTGTTGTTGTTGTTGTTTTTGTTTTTAAAGAGAGCGTTTAATTGGGAATTTGCATACAGTTTTAGAGGTTAATCCATTATTACCATGGCAGGGAGCATGATGGCATGAAGGTCTGTGCTGGAACAGTAGTGAGAACTATACCCTGATCTGCAGGTAGAGAAATTCTGGGTGTGGTATGGGCTTTTGAAAATTTAAAGCCCATCCCTAGGGACACACTTCCTCTAATAAGGACACAGTTCTTAATCCTTCTAGTCCTTTCTAATAGTGCCACTCCCTGGTGACTAAGCATCAAATATTTATGCCAATGGTGCCCATTTTTATTCAAACCACCAGTTTCCAACCTCAGATGATCCAGATTTAAGATGGTTCTTTGCATCTTAAATGATCTGAATTTAGGATCTTCTCAACTCAGATAATCTAGTCAAGAAAAAAAAAATCTGTCACTGGTGTTCCCAGCTTAGTTAATTACAGATGTAGTCAAATTGAAACCAACATTGTCACTACATAGATGCTGGGAATTGAATCTGGTTCTCTGCAAGAGCAACAAGTGTTCTTTACTACTGAGCCATCTCCCAGCTGCTAACTCTTTTTTTTTTTTTAAATTGATTTATTTGTTTTGTATACACTGTTCTGTCTGCACACCAGAAGAGGGCATCAGATCTCATTATAGATGGTTGTGAACCACCATGTGGTTGCTGGGAATTGAACTCAAGGACCTCTGGTTGAGCAGTCAATACTCTTAACCTCTGAGCCATCTCTCCAGCCCAAGTCCAGCTGCCAACTCTAACCATTATTGATTCTATTTGGTTTAAGTGTCTCTTCTTTATACTTCTGTAACTTATAAGTACTCATTGGTACTTGTCATTGTTTATTGGTCTCCCTAAACAGTTGTATTACAAATACATATATATTTAGGCCCATTTTCTAGCATGCATCATCATTATCATCATCATCATCGTCATCATCATCTTAATAGTATTTATTGATTATATATTGCACTTTGTGGTTGAACATTTTAAATTGTATTATCCTGTTTAATTATAACAGCAAGTCTTTTAAGCTGCCAATAATCAATATTCTAAATTCCTAAGTGGGTGGAAATAGTAGAGTCAAAATAGTTAAATATTTTGGTAGCTATTAAGAAAAGACAGTAATAGATGGTGAAATGGCTCAGCAGCTGAAGGCATATGCTGCCGAGCTTGACCTGAGTTCAGCCCCCAGGATCCACATGGTGGAAGGAGGAAACCCAGTCCTGCAAGTTTTCGCACATGTATGCTATGACACATACATGCCTCTACACAGACAGACAGACAGACAGACACACACACACACACATAAATAAATGAATAAATAAATGTAGTAAGAACTTTAAAAAGAAGCGATAGTATAATTTGAATCCAGAAAAGATGATGAACTTTTTTCTTAGTGTTTATATGAGGTTTAAAAATGAATACATATATAAGGCATATAAACTAGTAACTGAGACAGAATTTAATAAACATTAGTTATTAAGTGGAATCAAAAGCTTTTTACATAGCATAGCCCACTAATAAATATTTAATATTTATGGTTAGAAATTAGAAGTGAAGATAGGAAATTGTGAAAATAAAATCATGAATAATTTTACCACTGGAATATAAATGAAAAAGTAGTTTTTATATATCCTTTCCTTTTATGTTCATGGTTTACATAAATACTATTTTCTTTTCCAAGACAAGGTTTCTCTATGTAGTTCTGGTGCCTTTCTTGGATCTTGCTCTGTATACCAGGCTGTCCTCGAACTCACTGAGATCCACCTGGCTCTGCCTCCCAAGTGCTGGGATTAAAGGCGTGCGCCACTGCCACCTGACACATAAGTACTACTTTAACTTGTCATTTTGTCCTCATGTTTTATGACTGTCAGTAAGATTTTTATTATCATTTTAGTGACTACATGATATACTAATCCATTTATGTACAATCATAATTTAATGTTAACTTTTGGATATTTATGTATTACTGTTTTGCTATTCTAAAATATTTCATTCAGGCATGGTGTGGTACATGCCTGTAATCCTTCATGAGACTCAGGCAAGAGAATGGCACAGTCAAGGCTTGGTTGGGCTGTATAATTTCTAGGCCACCCTGAATTATAAAATGAATTTCAGGTAACTAGGGGACACACGGTGAGACCCTGTCTCAAAAAAGAAAAAAAATAACAAATCCATCACTATCACCAGCACCACCACCAAAACCAAATCCAGAACACAAAACTGAAAAAAAAAATAACCCTTAAAAAATAGATAGTTAACATTTTAGTTTTAAATATCTATCTTTGATGAAACTCTCATAGGAAATTGAGGGAATTGACTGTATCTTGTATTATCATAAGAAAAAACTTTTCCTTCAAAACCTCGAAGACCTCAAACTTTATCTTTGAAGACCACCTGAGGCTCGGATTTTCGTGTACTACCTATTGTGATATTTATGACCTCACAGAACCTTAGCATCCTCCACAATGGACAAAATGCTTTTTATTTTCAAAACTTTCGTTTTTGAGAAGGAGAGCATGGGCTAACTGAGTTACTCAGTTTTTTTTTTTTAAATAAAAATTTTTTTTAGATATGAGCTTGCCAAATTGCCCAGGTTTGCCTCCAACTTCTAATCCTTCGGTCTCAGTCTCCCAACTACCTGGTATTAGAGACTTGCATTCACTATACCTGGCTCCAAAACATATTTGTAATAACAAATGAAATAGGACATGACATATATAAGCCACTTGACTCCTTGACAGAAATGTTAAAAAAAAAAAAGGAATAGTCTGTTAATATTCCTGTTAAAGCTGGGTTATGTCTTTTTTATTTTATTGTAATTATAAATGTAGATACTGAAAAAAGTTAAAATGTTCACTTTTGAATTTTTAGGAAAAATAATCTTATCAAATTTAGAGTGTATATTTGCATTGTTTTTATTTTGGACTATTTTCTAGTAGAGGAAAAGGAGTAATTGCTCTAGCAATTAGTTTTCTTGAAAGCCATTTTCTATCAAACAATGCCTAACTATAATTTTATCTTTTAGAATTACAAGATGAAAACTTAAAAGAATTAAATGAAAAGAAGGATCATTTAACTTCAGAACTTGAAGATATTAAAATATCATTGCAAAGAAGTATGGTATGATTTAAAAACTAACTAGTGTATAGTATGTATCACACAATCAGTTAACAGATTTTTATTGGAAATGACTAAAATGTATAATGACTTAGATTCAAATAGAGAAGACACAATCCTGCTCTATAAATGCTTCTAATAAAAGGCATTGGATAAAAATACCTAAATACCAATAGTATGACTCAGGCTAATAAATTGTCACAACAGTTTAAGAATGGAGAGAACTATGTGGGCTAACCTGTCTGGGAAAACTTTGTGGAGGGGTCAGAACTATAGATAATGGTAGCTTGAAATTTGGTAGTAGGTGGGTTATTCCAGTATGCCAAGGAGGGACAATGAAAAGGAGGAAGTATGGAGGGCAAGAGGGCAAACAAATTTATAGAAGCAGATGACTTAAGACTTGTCAACATTTTAGACCTTTGCGTTATTCTTCCTGTTTTGTGATTTATTTCACTTAGAACACTCAGAAGGCTTTAGAAGAAGATTTGCAGATAGCAACAAAAACGATTTCTCAGCTCACTGAAGAAAAAGAAGCTCAAATGGAAGAATTTAACAAGGCTAAAACTGACCACTCATTTGTGGTTACTGAACTTAAATCTACTACATGTACCTTGGAGGAATTTTTGAGAACAGAACAGCAAAGGTGAAACATTTCTTATTTTAAACAAATAAATAAAGATGTAAAAATGATTTGCTTTTAATATTCAGTACTATTTAAAGTCAGGCATTTCCTGGAATAGTTCTCATGTATGCTTTGCAGTGGGGTCAAGCTATATAAACAAGTCCTTAAGTGTTGGTGAAGTAATAGGACATATTTATTAATACTGTGGGTCATTGGTTCTCAACCTTCCTAATGCTGTGATCCTTTAATACAGTTCCTCATGTTGTGGTGACCCCTTAACTATAAAATTATTTTCGCTGGGCGGTGGTGGCGCACACCTTTAATCTCAGCACTCGGGAGGCAGAGGCAGGCGGATCTCTGTGAGTTCGAGGCTAGCCTGGGCTACCAAGTGAGTTCCAGGAAAGGCGCAAAGCTACACAGAGAAACCCTGTCTCAAAAAACCAAAAAAAAAAATTTATTTTCATTGCTACTTCATAACTATAATTTTGCTAATATTATGAGGTGTAATATTATTATTTTTGGAGCTAGAGGCTTGTCAAAGGGGTTGTGACCCACAAGTTGAGAACCACTACATGTGGATTAGTTGAAGAATTTGTTTTTAATGAGATCTATAACCTTACTTACAATGTATAAACTTAGTAACTATGTTGAGATAGAGTAAATATTACTCCATATGAGATCAATTATTCATTTGCTTTTAGCACTAAATAGTATTTTATTTAAAATTAGAATATTAACAACTAGTTCTTTTTTTTCAATTTACACAGTTTTTATATAAAAGTATGTTGAGCCTAGGTAATTATTTTTGTCCTGTTAGCACAATACTTAATTAAATTTGGCACAGTAAAGAAGAGGGATGAATTTCTCTCCTAGTTTATATCCTGGTTCTACTTAATTTTTCTTTACTACCGCACATAGTAAGGAGAAAATATAGGTTTTCTAACTCTTCTATTATATATTTCTGATTAACCTGTTGAGGCAATTTTCAAATAGTAAAATTGAGAATTACTATATAATCATCTGTTCCAATTACCTTAGTAAATTTTTTTATTTACTACATTAATTTTTTAAAAAATTGTATGTGTATGGGTGTTTTGCCCGCATGTGTGTCTGTGTATAACATGCATGCAGAGCTTTTACAGGAACCAGAAGGGGATGTTGGATCCCCCTGAACTGGAGTTACAGACAGTTGTGAGCCCAAATGAGGGTACTGGGAATCAAACTCTGGTTCTCTGGAAGAGCAGCCAGTGCTCTTAAAATACTGAGCTATCTTTCTAACCCCTAATTTACTACATTTAAGCATTTGTGTGTGTGTGTGTGTGTGTGTGTGTGTGTGTGTGTGTGTGTGTGTGTGTGTGTGTGTAGATCAGAGGACAATTTGTAGGAGTAGGTTCTCTTCTAGGCATTGAATTTGGGTTGTTAGGCTTGTTAGCAAGCTCCCTTATCTGTTGAGTCATTTCACTGGTCCAGCAGTTACCTTAGTTTTATGGTTTAAGGAAACAGAAGATCAGAAAAGTCAATAAAATGATACACATTCTTTTATTTGTATTTTTTAAAGGAAAAATTCATTATAATAAATATGCATTTAATTTAATATAATTACAAATCCACTAATGTATAAATTTGATTATCGTCAATAGTTAAGATGTCCTTTTTAAATTTTGCTTTTGTTTTTGGAGACAGGGTTTTTCTGTGTAGCTTTGGAGCCTGTCCTAGAACTCGCTGTGTAGACTGTGCTGGCCTTGAACTCACAGAGATCCACTTGCCCCTCCCAAGTACTGGGATTAAAGGCGTGCACCACCACTGCCCTACAGTTAATATACAAATTATAAGCCTTAAAGTTTTAGGTAGATAGACTTATTATAACAATTATGTATTTATTATAATTTTCATTTTAAACTGTTTTATTCAGATTAATGCTCAATAATGTCTAATAACTGAATACATCTATATGTCAGATACATCAGCTGTTACAATATACCAGTTTTAGTTATTAGATGAATCCTGAATAAATAATAATTTGAACTTTAAAATAATATATCTCATAAGATTGGAAAAAAACGAAGATCAACTGAAACTACTTATCATGGAGCTCCAGAAGAAATCAAGTGAACTAGGTAAGAGTTAGACAGTAGTGTACTTTGATAGCATTGATAACCGATTAGAAAAACAAAATTGGGTTTTTTGTTAAATTTATTAAACTGTTAATAAGCAGTTAAAAGCACTTACCTGTTCTTGCAGAGGACCTAGATTTAGTTTCCCCATATGATGCTCATAACTGTGAAACAAAATACTCATGCATATAAAATAAAAATAAACATAAAAATTAGGGAAAATCATAACAGAATATAGAATATTTAAATTTTAAGAAGACTTAAATTTATGCAGTTTATCGATGTCTAGAAACCTGAGATATTTGTATTCTCCTTATTTTAGGATTCAGAGGCCTGAATACTTCTTAGGGAAATGTCTTACATTTCAGTTGAAGAAACAGTTTTTGAGGCAGGATTATACTTCATAGTTCAAACTGGTTTTGAATTCTTGATCCTTTTGCCCCAGCCTCATGAATGCTAAGGATTACAGGAATGCACCACTGCCTGGATTTGTTTATTTATATGTTTGTTTCTTGAGAGTCTTGCTATGTAGCTCCAACTGGCCTAGCATTCTCTGTGTAGACTGGCTAGTCTTGAACTTGCAGCAATTTTCCTGCCTCTGCCTCCCAAATGCTGGGATTACAAGTGTGCACCATCACACCTGGCTTGTGTCTAGATTTTGTAGACTTTATTGCTTAGTGGTATTTGATTTATGAAATACTTTTGAAAAAAATTTTCTATATTATCATATAGTATTGCTAATATTCAAGAACTTACACAGACAAAACAACTTATAATTTTGTGAATTTATGACCATGTAGTTAGCTAACTATAAGTCTATGCTTCATATTTTTTAGCTCAACTATCTGCAAGTATAGACAATTAAAAGAAAAAAAATTTTTTTTTCAATTTCAATTAAAAAGTATTTTTAATAGATTAATATTCCTGAATTGACAGATATTTGTCTAAATTATTTTCATAGATTTCTATAAACTTTACTGTTAGTTTGAATATTTATATTATTAGTTGAATTACTTGTATAGTTAAAATAATTATAAGTAATATTGCCTAGTATTTGAAATGCTTGTCTAACATTTCATAAGTAGTTCATCTCTTTGATTGAGTCCCTTTGTAAAAAATATTTTATAAGCATATATTAATTATATATATAAAACCAGCATGATATTTTTATATATCACAAGTTTTTATCATATTTACCTTTGCTTATGCCCTTCCTATTCTTGATAATCTTTTTACTCTTCCCAACTAGCCCTGTTTCTAGTTTCATGGTGTGTGTGTGTGTGTATGTGTGTGACTCAGTGAGTTTCATTACAGGGTTCAGAGGAGTGTAGGTGACTGGATCATGAGTACCTTATCAGTGTTTATACCACGGAAGAAAATGTCTATCCTATCCTATCAGGTTTGGTTGAATTTTTGAACCATATTTATGCCTTTTTTTGTAATGCTTAATTTTTCCATTGTAGATTAATGCTTGACTTTCCAACATTGTAATGTCCAAATAATTTTATTTGTAATTTTACTTTAGAGCGTAATTATAAAAACAGCCAGGCATGGTGGAACATACCTTTTTCCCCAGCACTTGAGAGGCAGAGGTAGGTGGATCTCTATGAGTTCAAAACCAGCCTGATCTACATAGTGAGTTTCAGGACAGCCAGGGCTATGTAGAGAGACCCAGTCTCAAAAAACCAACCAACCAACCAACCAGCCAACCAACCAACCAACCAACCAACCAACCAACCAAAACTCAAGTATAATGGTTAAAGACAAATTTCTTATCTAATTCAAAAATTCTTTCAGAACATAGTTATTTATTTATTTTTTTTGGTTTTTCGAGACAGGGTTTCTCTGTGTAGCTTTGCGCCTTTCCTGGGACTCACTTGGTAGCCCAGGCTGGCCTCGAACTCAGAGAGATCCGCCTGGCTCTGCCTCCCGAGTGCTGGGATTAAAGGCGTGCGCCACCACCGCCCAGCAGAACATAGTTATTTTTAAATTATACTTACCTACTTGCTTTAGAATTGTTGAATGTTGTAGATTAAGGAATAATTTTAGTACTTAAACTGTCTTAAATGTGTATTTATAACAGTCCAGTTTACCATTAAATGGCTACTATATATCACATTGTAATTTCAATATTTTCCCATACCAGAGAAGTTTGGTATTATGAGAAGTTTGGATAAGAAATTTGAGAACTGTGAAACAGCACTGTGTGTTTTGTGAGAACATGAAAAGTCAAACCATGGTTCTTGAGAAATCTTTAATTACTATGAGAGAAAGTTTAAACACATAAAACCATTGGGGTAATAGTATCCAGAATGAGGGGGTAAGCAAAAAATTATATTAGAGTAAGAAATAAAGTATGAGATTTTCTATTTTTGTTGTATTTATGGTGAATAACATATACATATTTATATTGAAGCTTTGTATAAAATATAAATTCTTTTATATTTTTAAACATATTTGAGGTAAATGCTCAGGTTTTTTTTTTTTTTTTTTCCGGAGCTGAGGATCGAACCCAGGGCCTTGCACTTGCTAGACAAGCGCTCTACCACTGAGCTAAATCCCCAACCCCTTATGCTCAGGTTTTTTATTGAATGTTAATGTTGATACCAAAAAGAAGCAAAAGAGTTAGGAAAAGCATTAAGGAAGAGTTAGATGTTAAGAATAGATTTTATCCCCAGCTAAGACTCATAGCAATGGTAGAGAGGGTGCTTGAACTAGCCTTCCCCTGTACTCAGATTGGTGTCTACCCTAATTGTCATCATAGAACCTCCATCCAGTGACTGATAGAAGCAGATGCAGAGACCCACAGTGAAGCACGTGGCCAAGATCCTGGAGTTCAGTTGAAGAGAGGGAGGAGGAATTATAGTAGCAAGGGGGGGTCAGGATCATGATAGGAAAAATCACAGAGATAGCTGACCCAAGCTATTAGGAGCTCATGGACTCTGGACTGACAGCTGGGGAGCCTGCATGAGTCCTACACTAGGTCCTCTGAATGTTTGTGACAGTTGCGTGGCTTGCTGTGTTTGTGGGTCCCCTGGCAGAGGGACCAGGACTTACCCCAGGTACATGAACTGGCTTTTTGGAGCACATTCCCTATGGTGCAATGCCTTACTCAGCCTTGGTGCAGTGGGGAAGGGATTGGTCCTGCCCAACTTGGTATGCCAGCCTGTGTTGACTATGAGGAGGGGATGGGGTAAAATGGGGAGGGGAGGTGGTAGGAGAGGTGGGAGGAGAAGAGGAGGGAGAGGGAACACTAGTTGGTATGTAAAATAAAAAAAAAGATTTTTAAAGAAAAAGAAAATAGATTTTAAAGTATAGAGAGGCTTTGGATAGTTGTAGAGGGATGATAGATTATTGAAAATACTGTGTATGGGAGTGCAAATTGAAAATTACATAAGGACCAAACATTATTTTATTCTTGAGTTAATAATATAGTTTTCAAAGTCAGAAATCTTTGCAGATATTCTGTTTTTTTCTTTTTTCTTTAGTTCATTTTATTTTGGTAATCTTGATTATATATGTGTGTATATAATTTTTCTATTTCTTCTTGTCTCTTTTTTTTCTAATTGTATGGAATTGAGGTAAGAGTGTTCATGTTCAGATCATTCAACCAGTCCTCAAGTTAAAAAAAAATATATTTTATCTAAAATGAAACTTTCTGATTAAATAAGGTTTGTATGTGACAAGTTTCTTCTGTAGCTTCTATATTGATATTTCATGTTTTGTTGATTGGAGGAAGCTATTATAAGTGTTTTTTCTAAACAACGAGAAGTCTGAGTTCTATTATATTTCCAATAATTAAAACTCTTTAACAGTGAACAAAAATAATATGTCAGATACAATTTAGGCGACAGCTGGAAATTAAGAGACTATAGGAAGTTAAAAATGTAAAAAAGAAAAAAGTGGGAAGGTTGTACTGAAAAGATTTTTTAAATTAATATTGAATTCACAGAAGTAAAGATAAGCACTGTAAAACACTATTTTTCCTGGTAGCAAGGATGTAAAAGCAACAAAATAGGAATAGGAATTAGAGAGGAAATACGAATAATACAAGTTCTTGGTAATTGAAGGGGGAGAAAAAGTAGAGAGTGTTTCATAGTATCGAATATGACCCAGCTACATAATGAATAAGACTGAGAATGGTGTTACAAAGTGCTTATTGTTGGTTTTCAAGATCATAATTTTATTAACATCATGGTGACAGAAGTTAAAGAAATATGTAGTTAACAAGCAGGGATTTGAAAGATAACGTGAAAAATTACTAGCTTGAAGGAATAGAGAGGTTAATCAGATATCTTTGTTTTTATATTCATATGTGGTGCTTGGTGGGATAGGAGAAAATAAGGATTTCTCTGCACAGAGTTGGTATGTTTTAGAGCAGATAAAGTCACAAAAGAAGTGGGGATATTGAAATTCAAAGAACAATGATCAGAACTAGCTTGAGAGATGATCAGTTCTTTTAAATTTGAAGAGAAGCCAAACAGATTCAGGTAGTAATGAGTTGAAAGTAAAGGCACACACTGATGCCATTCCAAATTATTTTATGTAGATATGTTGCTTATTTTGTGTCATGAACTTTGGATTCATTTGCTATGAATTAACCTGGAAAGATAACTGTTAGTATTTATCCATTTTTATTTTTGCATAGTTGTTTTAGACTCCCTGTAAGCTTCCTTTGTGTGTTAATCTGTCTCTTTTTAGGGATATGTGTGCTCATTTAGCAGCATAATAGTAGTAGTTTCTCCCTAGGCCTTATATCCTGTCTAGTCTTCGGTTCTTGGCCCGATAATGGTGCCAGATAGGGTTGATTCTTCTTTTCAAATGGCATTATTCTTATTTCTTCTCTTTCCTACCTTTTAATCCAGCTATTAATACATGTTGTTTATTTTAGATGAGATGACTAAATTTAAAAACAACAAAGAAGTGGAACTTGAAGAATTGAAAAAAATATTGGTAAATATATATTCTTTCCTATTAATATCCAGCAATTACTTTAAAATAACTTTGATATTACTGGCCTGTGTTTTCAAACTATAAATATTTTATGCTAATTTTTCTGCTAAAATATAAAAATTTTACATTTGCTTTTAACTAAAGCTTCAATCTTGTCTGTATCTATTTTTATAGGTTTTTATTAACTATCTTGGCCAAGATGTTTATATTATTTAAACATGTTGATAGCACACTTAAAATAAGAACATATGCATATTTTGCTATACCATAAAGATCCAGGGAACAGTGGACACACTTGTCCTGAAATTATTTTCAATTTTTCTTTTTTTAGTGTGATATTGGCTATGGGTTTGTCAAATATAGCTTTGCTACACTGAGGTGTAGCTAGAGTTTGGCTGCCTGGCCCACAGTCAGGAAAAATCTCTCTCACCTGCCAGTCCCACAGCCGCTCAGACCCAACCAAGTAAACACAGAGACTTATATTGGTTACAAACTGTATGGCTGTGGCAGGCTTCTTGCTAACTGTTCTTACAGCTTAAATTAATCCATTTCTATAAATCTATACCTTGCCACGTGGCTCGTGGCTTACCGGCATCTTCACATGCTGTTTATCATCGTGGCAGCTGGCAGTGTCTCTGACTCAGCCTTCCACTTCCCAGAATTATTCTCCTCCTTGTCCTGCCTATACTTCCTCCTGCCTGACTACTGGCCAGTCAGTGTTTTATTTACTAACCAATCAGAGCAACACATTTGCCATACAGAACATCCCACAGCACTGAGGTATTATCCTTCTGTACCTAATTTATTCAGGGATGTTATCATGAATGGATGTTTAATTTTATCAAAGGCCTTTTCTGTGTCTATTGGAATGATCATGTGATTTATATCCTTGATTCTTTTTCTGTGCTATATTTCATTTATTTATTAATTTACATATGTTGAATCATTCTTGCATTCCTGGAATGAAACCAGTTCAATCATAGTGCATGATCTCCTTAATGTGGTATGAATTGGATTTGCTAGTATTTTATTGAGTTTTAAACCTATACTTATTAAATATTTTGGTCTATAGTACCCTTTTTTGTTATATCCTTATCTAGTCTTGGTAGTAGGGTAATATTGGATTTATAAAATGATTTAGAGAAGATTCTGTGGATTTCTGAGAAGAATGTATATTCAGTAGCCATTGAGTGGGATATTCTGTAAATGTATATTAACATTTGATCTATAGTGCAATTAATTATGAAGTTTTATTTCTTTTTCTGGTTTGGATGATATATTTACTCATGGAATTGGGTATTATAGTCACATATTATTACTTAATCTTGGCCTGTCTGTCCATTTGTGTCCAGTAGATTTTGTTTTATGAAATTGGACATACCAATGTTTGATGCATATTTATTTCCAATCATTATGTCTTCTTGTTGGATTGTCACCTTAATTAATTTGTAGTGATCTAGTTCATCTCTTCTGGCTTGTTTTGGCTTGAAGTCTGCTTTTTCAAATACTAGTAGTAGCTTCTCTGGCTTGTTTTCAGTTTTTACTTGCTTAATATGTCAACTTACGTTTTTTTTTTTTTTTTTTTTTCACATTTACCTTTTCCAGTTAAGTATGCTTTGCAGAGAACAAACAGTTGGAAATTAATTCTTAATCCAGTTGTCTAGTCCATGTCTTTTCAACAAAAGGGGTATAAACAGAAACATGTAGAAGGCGTTTTGATAGCAAAACAATAAATAGTAAGTTCTCTACGTGGGCCTATGATATCCTTAGTCATGGGCTTTTCACCAGGTTTACCATACCAGGCATGAAATCCCTCCTTGGAGCAGGCCTCACACCCAATCAGAAAGTGGTTGGTTATCCCCATAACAATTGTTCCACACTATTGCACCTGTAAGACACATCTTGGTAGGGAGGTCAGTATTTTCGTATACAGGATTCAGCACTGGGAGAGACCATTAGTCTCTCTTTCACCCAGGAACTGTATAACACATCTGACACTATAAAAATTAGTCATCAGGAAGAGAATTTCCTGGTAAGTTATGTTTGATTTTTCTGTGTTCTGCATCCCAAGTGAATGTTATCTTCAGTAATAGGGTCTTACCATCTGATTATGTTGAATAGTTATGAGAAATGACAGTAGACTGTGTTGTTTCGGGTACTTCAGAGCCTTCCTGGTCAGTAACTCCTAAGGAGGTAGCCCATGCCTGGCGCTAAGATTTTCATTTAGTAACCCAAATTCGGAGTATTATTGTTCAACTATGAAGGATACTTCTGTTCAAATTCTTGTATTTTATATATATTGTATTTAAAAATCAGCATACATGGCCGGGCAGTGGTGGCACATGCCTTTAATCCCAGCACTTGGGAGGCAGAGGCAGGTGGATCTCTGTGAGTTTGAAACTAGCCTGGTCTACAGAGCGAAATCTAGGCACCAAAACTACAGAGAAACCCTGTCTCGAAAAACAAACAAACAAACAAACAAAAAAATTAGTGTACAGACCAATGGATTTTTGTAAGACTTCTTCATACATCTTTAGTTTTGGCTAATGTACCCTCTAACTTCTCCTTTCCCTAGTCTCCCTATTCCCACTTAAGCCTTTAACCCTGAGAATTCCCCTGATCTCCATTTATGTCACCTATATTTTTCTATCCTATCTAATTAAAATTGATTTCTTGAGTTGGAAGATGATAGGCTTCCATATAGCTTTTCATGTACCGTTCATTTTGGTTAATAATAAGCCTTATGTCACTCCCTCATTTTCCCATTCCCCACTCCCCATTCATGATTTATTTATCCTCTGTGAGTGTGTTCATCCTTCTTTTCAGTCTGAAATATTCCTTCCAGTATCCTCTGTAGAGACGGCTTAGTGGTAATAAATAACTTGAATTTGTTTTTATCATGATAAATTTTATTTCTCTTTCAATTTAAAGAAATACTTGTTTTTATGTTTATGTGTGAATATTTGCATGAATGTATGTGTGCTACATGCATACTTAGTGCTTTCAGAGGCCTGGAGAAGGCATCTGATTCCCTGGAACTGGAGTTACAGACATTTGTGAGCCTCCATGTAGGTCCTAAACTATTCTATACTGTTTCCATACTGCTGTGTCCTCTTTGAAATCACTGGTTACTTTTACAAGTAGACTTTTGAATTTTTTTTGGCATTTTAACCACTTTAAAATTGATTGATTGGTTGGTTGATAATGTGTGTATGTGTGTCTGTGTTTGATGACATGTGTGGAAATCAGAGGACAGCTTATGGGAGTAGATTCTTTCCTTCCACCATGTGGGTTCCAAGGATCCAACTCAAGTCATCAGGCTTAATGGCAAATGCCGTTACCTACTGAACCATCATACAAGCCAATTCAGTTTCAGCCATTTGGATTTAGTAACAAAATAGTTATCTCTTGTAACTGTCATATTGCTTGATTTTTCATGATTATATTTGTGTATTATGATTTGTACATTTGTTGATATGGTTATTTCTTATGACTTTATTTGGGGATCTTCTTAGTGAGCAGTCTTCTTTTGAGGACTCGGTACTGCTTGGAGAATGGGGAAAACAAACTGCTGTAACAGTTGTAATACCATACCAAACTATATAAGGAAATTCACTTAATATTTATTAAAGCCTATTCAGTTCCACTAGTGGCCATAGAATATAAAATAACAAAAGTAATGTAGAGTTAGCTATAAAGTTAAATATAATTAGGGTAGCAATAAAAATAATAAATACATGAAATAAAGGAAGGGAACAAAGGAAGGGTGAAAAAGGAGCAGAATTAAATAAAAGAACAGAAAAAGAAATGAGAAATGTTAGGAAGTGACAGAGAAAAGTATTGAAATCTAATTGAACAATAAAGAAAATGTGTGGTAAAAAGTTGATGAATATAAGAGGAATAAAAAGCTTTTTTGTTGTTGTTGTTGTTATTGTTGAGACAGGGTTTCACTGTGTAACAGCCCAGACTATTTTAGAACTCACTTTGCAGACAAGGGTGGCCTTGAGCGAGTAGAGATGATCTACCTGCCTCTGCCTCCTGAGTGCTGGGATTAAAGGTGTACGCCACCACCACCTGGCAAAACAAAAGTTTTTAAAAGCATGTCTTACACTTTCAAAATACTTACAGTATAATAGGAAGAAAGAAAGAAACACAGTAGACAAAACAATAAACACACATAAAAACCCAAACAAAACACCTAAGGTCTGTTTGATAGAGATAAATTGCAAATATCTTTAACTCAAAAATAAAATAAAAATAAAAACTAAAAATTAAGACAAAATATTCAGTTGGATTTACTCCCAGTCTTCTAATGTTGGAGTCTTCTAGGTACGATAGTTTGTCAGTTGATGTTGGAGTCTTTGTCTTTTCTTTTTTCTTTTTTTGGTTTTTTGAGACAGGGTTTCTCTGTGTAGCTTTGCCTCTCCTGGAACTCACTTGGTAGCCCAGGCTAGCCTCGAACTCACAGAGATCCGCCTGGCTCTGCCTCCCGAGTGCTGGGATTAAAGGCGTGCACCACCAACGCCAGGTGTCTTTGTCTTTTCTAATGTTTAGGCTAGTGCTGATCCTGGACCCTGCTTAGGGTCAGATGTATAGTAGAATTGCCTTCACTTTAGGAGTTTTCCTCTTTATGTTTTTTTTTTTTTTTTTTTTAATTTATTTTAATTTATTTTGCAATACAATTCAGTTCTACATATCGGTCACGGATTCCCTTGTTCTCCCCCCTCCCGTCCCCCTCATCTTCCCCCCAACGCCCCCCCCCCCCCCCATTCCCATCTCCTCCAGGGCAAAGCCTTCCCCACAGACTGAGGTCAACCTGGTAGACTCAGTCCAGGTAGGTCTAGTCCCCTCCTCCCAGGCCAAGCCAAACAATCCTGCATAGGCCCCAGGTTTCAAACAGCCAACTCATGCAATGAGCACAAGATCTGGTCCCACTGCCTGGATGCCTCCCAAACAGATCAAGCCAATCAACTGTCTCACCCATTCGGAGGGCCTGATCCAGTGTGGACCCCTCAGCCATTGGTTCATAGTTCATGTGTTTCCATTCATTTGGCTATTTGTCCCTGTGCTTTATCCAACCTTGGTCTCAACAATTCTCGCTCATATAAACCCTCCTCATTCTCGTTGATTGGACTCCCAGAGATCCACCCAGGGCCTAGTCATGGATCTCTGCATCCAGATCCCTCAGTAGTTGGATGAGGTTTCTAGCACAACAATTAGGGTGTTTGGCCATCCCATCACCAGAGTAGGTCAGTTCGGGCTGTCTCTCGACCATTGCCGGCAGTCTGTTGTGTGGGTATCTTTGTGGATTTCTGTGGGCCTCTCTAGCACTTTGCTTCTTCCTGTTCTCATGTGGTCTTCATTTACCATGGTCTCCTATTCCTTGTTCTCCCTCTCTGTTGTTGATCCAGCTGGGATCTCCCGCTCCTTATGCTGGAGAGGATGTGGAGCTAGGGGAACTCTCCTCCACTGCTGGTGGGAATGCAAGCTTGTACAACCACTTTGGAAATCAATATGGCGCTTTCTTAGAAAATTGGGAATCAATCTCCCCCAAGATCCAGCTATACCACTCTTGGGCATATACCCAAGAAATGCTCAACCACACCATAAGAGCACTTGTTCAGCTATGTTCATATCAGCATTGTTTGTAATAGCCAGAACATGGAAACAACCCAGATGCCCCTCAACTGAAGAATGGATAAACAAAATGTGGTACATATACACAATGGAATACTACTCAGCAGAAAAAAACAATGGCATCATGAGGTTTGCAGACAAATGGATGGATCTAGAAAAAATCATCCTGAGTGAGGTAACCCAGACTCAGAAAGACAAACATGGTATGTACTCACTCATAGCAGGATACTAGACATGAAACAAGGATGAATTGTCTGCTACTCACATCACCAGGGAGGCTACCCGGAAAACAGGACCCCAAGAAAGACACAGGGATCGCCCAATGACAGAGAAATGGAATGAGATCTACATGAACAGCCTGGACATGAGTGGGGGTAATGAAAGGCGAGGGTCGAGGGAAAGAGAGCTTGGGTGAGCGGGAGATCCTCTTTATGTTTTAAGAATTTCTGCTGGCCAGACTTAGCTTTGCATCTGTGGGTAGGGTAGTTTCTAAATTTTCTAGAGGCTCTTGACAGTTTGTACACACTGCAGTTACTACTGTCTAATAAATGGGATATCTCCTGAGTGTATTGGAGAGTATTGAGATCTGTACTATAGTATAGATCTGTACAGTCTCAGTACTTTCAGTCCTACACATTATCAAATACTATGTAGGAGAGAGGTGGCTGTGGAAATTGCAAGGTTAGTTAAAAGAATATCATCATCCAAAAGGTAAGCCAGATTACCTCAACCAAGCTTCAGAGTTCTTAGTCCTAACAGTGAACTACTTAGTAGCTAGGTGGCCTCAAAAGTTCAGCCATCCACTAACTTCAGACTCAAGCCATCAATCTCCACAGCTATCCTCAAGTAATGGGATCCATTTTTTTTTTTTAACCGTTGAAGGTTTGGCTACAGACCACTGAACTCTTAATTGCTCGACCTCCCCCACCCCCTAGCTCTCCTGAACTTCTTAAAATGTCTGAGTTTCTAAAATGCTTTTCTCCTTCATGATTGTTGTCTCACACCTAAGAGCTTTGGGCAGGCTATTGCCTGGTTTTTGGAATTGTGATTATGCCTTGTTTTCAGACCCCCAGAGTAGCTCTGTCTCAACCAATAATCTAATTCTCAAGGTGGCACCCAGGGACAGTCATCTGAGATAGGAGGAATGACAAAGTGGACCTCTTCTCCATTAGCCGTTGTCTTACCAGATTTAAAACTGGATCCATGTCTTAGCAAGCATTGTGGACTTGCTCTGTGTGAAAGACTGGCAGTTTCTTTTCTCTAGGGTCATCTGACGTAGCTTTTGTTTCTTCTTTCGGTGCTGGAGCCTCAGCTGGAGCAGTGCACTGCGCATTTCTGTTTGCCGCTTAGCCTTTCTGCTTTCTTGTGTTTTTCAGTGATCCTGTTGCCTCCTTTGTGATTTCCAGTGCTCTTCCAATTGTCCCCGCCTTAGAATTGAGCCTGACTTTTGTTATCCTTACCTTTCTCATTTACCCTGTCCCATTAAGGCGATTTCTAACTCACTGTTTTAATTTCAGTTTTAAAATAATTTATTCCAGCCGGGCGGTGGTGGCGCACGCCTTTAATCCTAGCACTCGGGAGGCAGAGCCAGGCGGATCTCTGTGAGTTCGAGGCCAGCCTGGTCTCCAAAGCGAGTTCCAGGAAAGGCGCAAAGCTACACAGAGAAACCCTGTCTCAAAAAACCAAAAAAAAAAAAATTTATTCCTTTTGTTCCAGGTCTCTGTCCATTAAATTTTTTATTTTTGCTTTACATCTAATATCCACTTATGAGTGAGTATATACCGTGTTTGTCTTTTTGGATCTGGGTTACCTCACTCAGAATGTTTTTTTTCTAGTTCCATCCATTTGCCTCCCTAAATTTCATTAAAGACTGACTTATACTCCATTGTGTAAATGTATCACATTTTCTTTATCCATTCTTCGGTTGAGGGGCATCTAGGTTATTTCTAGGTTCTGACCAGGCTACAACCCACAACCCCAGAGAAGCTGGGTAACAAGGACGACTCTGAGACATGCATGCATCCCCTGGGGAAGATGAAATAGATATGATCTCCTGAGTAAATTGGGAGCATGAGGGGAGGGGAGGAGGTAAGGAGAGTTGGCAAGAGAACATGAGCAAGGAAAGAAATACCTTGATAGAGGGAGGGAGCCATTGTGGGATTAGGGAGAAACCTGGTGCTAGGGAAATTCCCAGGAAACCACAAGGATGATCCCAGCTAAGACTCCAAGCAATAGTGGAGAACTGGCCTTCTGTAATCAGATGGATGACTACCCTAATTGTCATCATAGAACCTACATCCAGTAACTGATGGAAGCAGATGCAGAGATCCACAGCTAAGCACTGGGTAGAGGAGGGATTATATGAGCAAAGGGGTCAAGATCATAATGGGGAAACCCATAGCGGCAGCTGACTGGAGCTAGTTGGAGTTCACTGACTCTGGACTGACAGCTGGGGAACCTGCATGGGACCGAACTAGGCCTTCTGAATGTGGGTGACAGTTGTGTGGCTTGGGCAGTAAGTGGGTCACTGGCAGTGGGACCAGGATTTATCTGAAATCTGGCTTTTTGGAGCCCATTCCCTATGGAAGGATACCTTGCTCAGCCTCATTACAGGGGGGAGGAGCTTGGTTCTGCCTCAACTTGTTATGCCAGTCTTTATTGACTCCCCATGGGAGGCCTTACCCTCTCTGAGGAGTCAATGGGAGGGAGGTGGGGACTGAGCAGAAGGAGGAGAGGGAGGAGAAACTGTGGTTGGTATGTAAAATGAAAAAAAAAATCCCTTTAAATAAAAAAAGGGTTTCTCTGTGTAACAGTCCTGGCTGTCCTAGAACTCACTCTGTAGACATGGCTGGCCTCGAACTCACAGAGATCCACCTGCCTCTACCTCCCTAGTGCTGAGATTAAAGGCGTGTGCCACCACACCTGTCTTGGTTTTCTCTTTTTAAGCAATTTTAGCCAAGGAAATACACTGTAGTTCTTTCTGTTGGGCAGTTTAATTATTTTCAACATGTATGGAGTTTGACAGTCATGCATTTTTTTCTCTACTATTTTTAAACAGGCAGAAGACCAAAAACTTTTAGATGAAAAGAAACAAGTTGAGAAGCTTGCTGAAGAATTACAAGGGAAAGAACAAAAACTAACTCTCCTTTTGCAAACCAGAGAGGTTTGTTAAGGATATGTTTATTTCCAAAGTTTTGTTAAGAGAATATAGATTTATAAAATTGATTATGGTGTAGATATTTGCTTTGTGCAGAATTTCTTTACAAATTTCTTTTTGAAAGCGTGTGTTCCTGTTACATTTAACATGCTGATGAGTGATTTAAAATAGGGAACCTTCATATTGTAATGTGGGAGAGAAAGGTCAACTTTTAAGAATCCAGTTTATGCATGTTATGGTTTATAATAATTCTGTTTCTTGATGTCTTTAGTATTTCTTGATATACTTAAATTTTAGCCCTTATTAAGCTAGATTCTTATGATACCCTTTATAATGCTTATATTTAAACTATATTTGTAGGCCTGTAAAAGAATTGAAACTTTTTATAATAGTAAGAACATCTGAGTCTATAAGACACTTCTTGACTTCACTAGTATATTTTCTCTTACTAATATAAAATTTTAGGTCAAGTGTAGTGACATACTCCTTTATTCCTAGTATTCTTTAGGCAGAGGCAGGCAGATCTCTGTGAGTTTGAGACTAGCCTGGTTTGAATAGAGAGTTCCAGGCTAGCCAGGGATATATGGTGAGAGTCTGTCTCAGGAAAACAAACAAACAGGCAAATTAAACAATAAGCAAAACTAATATAAATTCTAATTGGAATTAATTACTTAGTAGATTAAAATGGTTAAAAATTATCTATAAATATAATTTTTCTGTCAGCTTTAGGATATCACAATAGAATTTACTTGGATTTGTCATTGCTAATTAAAAAAATTAAAATAATTATCACATCTACTTAAATTTAAAATATTTAGCTGGACATGGTATTTGTATCTATCTATAACCCTAGTACTTTGGCAGAAGAGGTAGGAGAATCAAGAGTTCAAGGTCTTCGGGCAACAGTGGTGCACACATTTAATCCCAGCACTCTGGAGGCAGAGGCAGGTGGATCTCTTTGAGTTCAAGACCAGCATGGTCTACAGAGTGAGTTCCAGGGCCAGGGATACACAGAAAAAACCTGTCTCAAACCTCCCCCACCCAAAAAAAGGTTCAAGGTCAACCTCATTTATATAGAGTTTGAGACCAGCCTGCACGGAATGAAACTCTGTCTCAAAAATATTGATATCTTGCCCAATTTTTCCCAAATATATTACTTGACTAGTTAGAGCAACCATATCTCTCTTATTATTTATTTATTTATTTATTTATTTATTTATTTATTTATTTATTTATTTATTTATTTATTATTTTGAGGCAGGGTCTTACTATGTAGCTCTGGCTTTCCTGGAACTCACTTTGTAGACTAAGCTGACTTTTAACATAAAGTTCTGCCTGCCTCTACCTTCTAAGTTCTGGGATTGTGCCACCATGCCTAGCGCAATTATATCTTGTATATGAAAAAAACTAGTAGAACATTTTTATAAATATATACATTTATTTTGCAGAAAGAGGTCCGTGATTTGGAAGTACAATTAACTGTTATTAAAACAAGTGATCAGCACTATTCAAAACAGGTTGAAGAACTGAAAACTGAGCTTGAAGAAGAGAAGTATGTTTTTCACATACCTATATACAGTTTAATTCTTAAGATTTATGATAAAAATAAATGGCTTGCTATTTTATATCAATGGATTTGGAATTGGGTTTCGTTTCTAATTAAAGAGTAAGAGTGAAGGCCAGGCATGGTAGTGCACAAATGTAATCTCAGCTCTCTGGAAGTTGAAGCAAGAATATTAGGAGTTCAAGGACCTGGCTTGGTAGTGAGATCTTGTGTCAGAAGAGAAATAATTTACCTATTTCATTGCTAAAGAAAGTTTGTATCAGTTATATAAAAGAATAAATAACCAGCTGGGCGGTGGTGGCGCACGCCTTTAATCCCAGCACTCGGGAGGCAGAGGCAGGAGGATCTCTGTGAGTTCGAGGCCAGCCTGGTCTACAAAGTGAGTTCCAGGAAAGGCAAAACTACAGAGAAACCCTGTCTCGAAAAACCAAAAAATAAATAAATAAATAAATAAATAACCAAGTTAAATCACTTCATATCGGTATATAGTTATCTCTTGGTGTTTATGAACTTTGGTTTCAGAAACCCAGAAGATGCACAGATCTTTAGACAGTCAAGTCCTATATGCAAACAGTAGAGTATTTGCATATAAACAATGCATAACCTCTTTTTTTTTTTAGGGTGTTTTACCACAAAAGTGATTTTTATTTTATAGCACAATATAAATATTCCAAAGAACAATAACAACAAAACCAAACCAAACAAATATTGGTGAAATTATTAAGGCCACTCCACATAGTTAAAAGGGAGGTTTATTTTGTGGGGTAACTTACAAGTGAAGGGATAGGCTAACAGGGTCTGGGAAAGGTGTGGTGCAGTCCGGCGGTGTTCTCTGGAGAACTCTGCTCGGTCTACCTCCAGTGTCCAGGGTCCAGCAACCAAGAGAGCCGGCGCATCCAGATCACGGGTCTTCAGGGTCCTCTCTCGGCCCCGCCTTGTAGGCGTGACAGTTACCGAAGCATCAATGGGGGTTGGAACTTCCAGTTCAAAACTGGAATGGCTACCCACTACATCTCCCCCTTTTGTCTAAATAGGAAGGTTCTAACCTAATACAAGACTATATACAAAGGAATGGTTATCAAATATTGTCCAGGAGTAATGAGGGATGATGACCTAGATAAGATGGAACTACAACCAATGCGAACAATATCAGGCAAGAAACACATACTAAAATCCAGAGAAGTCTAGAGCGTGGGTAAATGGCATGTTACAAAGATCATTCCAAAAGGTGTCCTATCCTAAAGAACCTGAATCTAATACTTAATATGTTCTATCTAAGATATTATATATATAATGGTACCTGAGCATTGGAAGATGGATGTAAGCAATTTTTGGGAGTCTTGCAAGAGTAGACAGAGACAGCTGTCAGCCTGGACAGTCACCTAATGTTTCTCAGCATTGGTGGTGCATTCAAATTGGCTACAGGCCTAGAGTATCTGACAGACCCATTTTCAGAAGCAGGAATTCTGAAAGACCATCTTAACCTGTCTTGGAAGAGGTCAGAAGTCACTTTTTCTTGTGTCCCGCTTGTCCAGAAGGACAGCAGTTGAGGCAAAGGCAGTTCTTTGCCCAATAGGCCATTTTGTGTCAAGAAGACAAACTTCCAAATGGAAATGTCTTAGAAGCCCAACGTTCTTTCGGGATCAAATTGGTGCTGCCAGGAGCAATTGTGTCTCACGTCAACAGAATTCTAAGTTATTTAAATGCCGTATTCTCTAGGTCTATGAAGTGTTTGAAGATTACCTGTCCATCCGACCTATGTTATCTGTAAATCTGGATAACCTAACTAACGTAACTATAGAGATGACAAGCATAGGTGACTATAAATCTATAAATCTTATCTACCTAAATAACCTAAGGACTAAGGCTTCACGTAAACAAGGTAAACAGTCTATAAGTAAATGTACAATAAAGGACAATGACTTTAAAATTGTAACAATACACAAGATATTTATAACAGAGGTAGGAATGTATATTGCAATATGCAATATGACAATAATCTTAAATATATATCAATATACAGAATATCCTAAACAGAAGTAGAACATACATAAAGTATGACAGATATAAATTTACATTTGTATCAATATACAAATATTTCAAATAAGAGTAGAAATATATGTACATTATAACAAATATAGTTTTGTATTTGTATCAATATACAAATTATCTTAAACAGGAATATAAAAATAGTTTACATTTGTATCAACATATAAGAATCCATAGCAGTGCAAATTCAGTGCAAATTATCTAAGGCTGCTATTTTACTAAATTTGTTTACTAGTTTATACAATAATCTACCATAATATCTTATACCTATCCATTCCATTTCTTCTTCCCCCCCCTTTTTTTGAGACACTTTTTTTTGTTAAGGAGAATACTGAGTTTAATATTTTCATCCACCCTCAACTCTATAACTATCATCCATAACCCTGAGAAATACGAAACCTTAGGGAGAAGGGGCGTCATTTTCTTTGAATTGCTTCCTGCTGTTTAGGGGGTAATGGTATCTCTGTTGGGTACTATAAGAAAGCTTAGATAGTTAAATCTCAGTTAGACTAACCGTGGATTACACAGCAAGTCTCAGAGTAATGGGTAAGATTGTCTGAAATTCTGGCAAGAAGTGTAGTATGATGATGATTACCATGGCATCATTCTGGATTGGGTAGAGTTGTTGTTGTTGGGGCCCCATCTCCCTTCTGGAGACTTCAGAAATTGCTATTGGAAAAACTTATTTTTTATCAAAATGGAAAGTTTGGATTTAAAGATGACATGACATGTAAGAAAGGATTCCGAGAAATCAAGGGTAAGAATGGAGAGAATTAGAATCTTGAAGACAATGGTCCCTTCTTATTGGTTTCCTTCTGTCCCACACCAGAGGGCTCTTCTGATATGGGACTGAAGAATCTCTCAACCTTTTCTTTTAGCAATATGCTTGGATTTAGAGAAGGAGGGAGCCAATTCCATCTCCAAAGCCAGCTTGGTTTATAATTGAATTGGAACCACAGCTTTTCTAAATTGATAGAGATATAGATGTTAGACAGTGAGATTTTACCCTGTGTAGATTGGTACCAATAGATTCTTTCAAGTGCCTGTTGGTGGTAAAAATTATTTTTCCCTTTTGATTGCTTCTCAATATAGATATAGATAAAAATGGTAAGTAAAGTATTTGTGTGATGCCTCATACCTGGAATCCAAGCACTTAGGAGGCTGAAGAAGGAGGATTGCTTTGAGTTTGAGGCCAGCCTGGGTTATATCATAAGTCCCAGGCCAACCTATAGCCTATTCCTTTCTTGTAGCTCCATTCCCTCCTTCTGATATTCTTTCAACAGTGTTTTTTTTTCAGGAGACCTAGGTAACATTCATTTTATTAAGAATTGAGTGGTTATTTATATTTTAGTATTTATGTTATCCTTGGTTTACTTGCTCTTTAATCTGTCATTACTTAGGCAAAACCCCTTTATTTTCTCTGCTGAATTTCCAATAATATTAAATAGGAGGAAGCAGTAGATGCTCCTGAAATCATTTGGTGGTACCAGACATTACACAGCATTTAATTATCTTATTTATATCTTTTCTTTCCCCTAAGATTATTTTGAATTAATTCTTATATATCATATTTCATATTTAATTATTTCCATATGATATGTTTTTTAAAAATAGACTTAAGAATGCTGAATTAACTGCAAGCTGTGGCAAGCTTTCCCTTGATAACAAAAAATTGGCACAAGAAGCAAGTGATATGGCCCTAGAACTCAAGAAACATCAAGAAGATATCGCTGTGAGTTGACAAAGTTATCAATAACTTTGCTTTCTTACCTTCAAAATTAGAGGGACATTAAAATAGATGATCTCTGAGTACTGTTTTAGCTTAAAAAGTTGGATTATCTTAGAGCTGGTATTTTTTGGAGAAAAAGCTGCATACTTTGTTGTGATAATCGACAACAGAAAATGGAGACTACCTATTTATGAAGTTAATCTAATTTTAAACGTTAACAGTTTTATTTAGTAATATTCACTTTAGTCATAGATTTCTGTGGAAGATATAATAATGAATAATCTTGTCATTTTTCTTCAAGAATATATGAATTAATATAAAATAGTGTTTAAATATCTTAAGTTATGTCATATATGTTGACAATGGGATAAAGTGTTATTGGAATTCACAAGTTCACTTCTGCCTTTATGGAAGAGAAGTTGTCAGAGAACAACATTAATTTTGTCCTTGAAAAATGAATTAATTAAACATTATGAATAAAGGATACAAGCCTCCAGCCACCACTGGGAAATCAAACTTATTTTATTAGCTACTATATATTATTAGGATTGTTATTAGTACACGTCTGTAAAGCAGAACTGTACAAATAAAGTAGCTCGCTGTATTAGTTTGCTTTCTATTGCTGTGACAAAAAGCAGCTTGGGGTGGAGGGGAAGGAGGTTTGTTGGCTTACATATCTCAAGCATAGTCCATCATAAAGAGAAGTCAGGGCAGGAACTCAAGGCAGGAACCTTGAGGCAGAAACTAATAAAGCAGAGATCATGGAGGAGAGCTGATTACTGGTTGCTCCTTCGGGCTTGTACAGCCTGCTTTTTTATAGAACCCGGACCACCTGCCTATCGGTGGCACCATCATCAGTGGGCTGAGGCTCCCATATTAATCATCAGTGAAGAAAATGTCTAACAGACTTGCCTACAGGTCAGTCTTATGGAGGCAGTTTTGTGAGGTTCCTTCTTCCCAGATACTCTAACTTGTGTCAAGCTGACCAAAATAAAAATAAATACCATACTCATATTCTTGCTTTTTGTGAAATGAAATAAAATTTATGCTGACAGATGAAGGTTTTAAATACTAATTTCAGTTACATTTTTGTTGAAGCAAAATGATTAATATAAGCATTGTTGATTATCTTCTTAGAATAGCAAAAAGGAAGAAGAAAGGATGTTGAAGCAAATAGAAAATTTGGAAGAAAAAAAAATGCATTTAAGGCAAGAGTAATGAGTTTGTCTCTGTCTCTGTCTCAAGGATTTTTGAATTTCTTTTCTATTGTTGAATATTGTATAAAGTGGAAATATTATGTATAGGTTAGTGTTTTAAAATCCTGCCTAAAAATTAAATTATAATAATTTAGTACTTAAATAATTAAAAACAAAATTATTTTATATTTAGTATTTAAGCAGTAAAATTATATGAAAATTAAAGTATCATAAATTATGCTACTATATCTAGAAAACTTAGAATAAAAATTTTAAAATTATTTTCAAGAGCATCAACTATTACATATATTAGAATATTTATGTTCACTCTTTTAAGAATTATTTAATTATTAATCATAGTCATATAATTTTATATTATTTAAATGAAAACTTAACTGTTTTAAACATTATTGTTTCTTGATATTTTTCACAATAATTTATTTGTATATGTAATATTAACTTTTTATTTTTAGATATTTACATTTTCCAGTTTTTTACTATTATAAATAATACTGAAGTAAACAAGGAGCACATACATCTTTTTCTTATTTTAAACTTGAGAGAATACCTTTTAGTTTGAATTTATTAATAAGATCTTAGAAATAATGACTTGGTAATCAACTGGTTTCTAGTAGTTTTTATTAATTTTAAATTGTGAAATATAACCAAGATCATTTTGAAAGCTCTGGTTCCAAAATGTTTCTATTATTACTTCGTGTCATCACTAATATATCAGTAATTTAAAAACATAAGTAACTTTCCATGATTTGCATCTAAAATGTTTCTATTATAACTTGGTATCATCACTAATTTATCAGTAATTTAAAACATAAATAACTTTTTAATGATTTGCAGTTACTACCTTTTGCATAAGCTTTGGATTTTTTCTGAATTTGACTTAGAATTTTTCTTTGTAAAATTATCTGGAAGTATCTATACTCCTTAATCTTTTAAGGGCTTTATTATTTACTGTTGACTTAAGCATTAAAGTAGCAATCCTTTATCCTTTTTATTTATAGAACTTCTATAATTTGTTTTCCATTGATTTGTGGCAATTATTTTAATAGAAGTTTTAAGAATTTCTATTAATTATGTTTTTCCCTTTGTGTATTTATACCATTGCTTTTATACTTAAAATACTTTCGCCTCCCTGAATTTACATGCTAGTCTTTTTTTATTGTTCTTTCAAAATTTGTATACTGATGTTTAGCTATTCTATTTCTTTTTAAAAACATAAAAACATTTCAATCCTTCAGATCACTTGCAACTGCATCTATGAATTTATGACATAGCATTTTTATTTTTTATTTTTGACATGGCCTTTAAAAATATTATTTTGTTAGTTCTTTGCAATTTTTGTATATTTTGATCATATTCACCTCCTTCCCCTCAACTACTCCTAGATCCACCCCATCTCCTTACCTACTGAACTTCATGTCCTGTTTTCTTTTTCTTTAAACCCATCCAGTCCAATTTGTGATGACCAAATATTCATGTAAAGCTACCCTGGAATGTGGCAATCTACCAAGGGTCACACCCTTAAAGAAAATTTGCTGTCCTTCTCACAGCAGCTGTCAGTTGCCAATAGCTCCTAAGCTAGGGATGAGACTTTGTGCTCACCTCTCCTGTCCATGCTGGAATTTTGTTCGGCTTGAGCTTGTGTAGGTCTTATGCATGCTCTCAGAACCTTTCTGAGTTCATATATGCAATTGCCTTGTTTTGTCTGGAAAACACTGTTTCCCTGTAGTCATCCACTATCTCTGGCTCTTACTATCTTTCTACTCCTTCCACAATTATTGTTGAGTCTTGGAGTCTTGGGAGAAGGTGTGTAATACAGATGTCTCATTTAGGACTGAGCACCCTGCAGCCTCTTATTCTCCACATTGACGAGTTATGGGGATCTCTGTTAACTGCTATCTACTACAAAGAGAAGCTTTTCTAATGAGGTTCAGAGCCACACTTAACTGTGGGTCTATCAACAAGTCAGTAGGAGTCAGTTTAATAAGTCTGTTTAACAGAGTAATAGTAGAACATAATCTGGGTGCCATCAACTGATGAATGGATAATGAAAATATGATACATTTACACAATGGAATATAATTGATCTGTTAAGGAAAAGGAAACTATGAAATTCATAGGTAAATGAATGGAGCTGGAAAAAATCATCCTGAGAGAGGTAAACCATACCCAGAAAGACAATTGGAACATGTTTTCTCCCATATGTGGCTGGTAGCTTTGAATCTTTAAATATTCGCGTTTCATTTTGAATACCCATAGTAGTCAGGAAGCTAGTAAGGGCTATGGATTAGGGGGATTTCCTGGAGCAGGGAGATCGAATGAAATGTGAAAAGAGAGAAAGGGGAATAATGGGACAGAAAGGGTTAAGTAGAAAGGGGAATAATGGGACAGAAAGGGTTAAGTAGGATAAGGATAGGAGGGCAGGGTAGAGGAGGGAGTAAGAGGAAGGGTAACTAACACTAAAGACCTTTAATGAAGTCGTGTGGAAACCTTTTACTATAGAAGCTTCCTAAAATACATACACATATAAAAAAGAGTTTAAATAGAGTTACCCTATAGTGGAGGGGACAATGCCATACTAGACACTACAGGCTAGCAAATAAAAAGCCACTGCCAGGAATGGGGTACTTTTTTTGAAGATGTTGCCTAGTGGGATTCCATAGACCCCCCAAACATTATAGACTATTGTCATTGCCTTTGGTTACTCTCCAGAACTTGATGGTAAGACACTATTTGCTGAGGACAACACATACTTGAGTAATAGAACATGGAGAAATCAAGCTGGTAGACCTGGAAGCTTTAGATTTCATAGTGCTAGAAAGTGCTATGCACACTACAGGAGGATAAAAGGCATCAGCAGTCTAACACTTCTGTGAACTCTGTGAACTATAGTAACGACTAGCATGGCATTATACACCCACTGGTATAATAGTGACATGAATGTTATGGGAGTAACCAACCACATTTTGATTGGATTTAAGGATTTCTCCACAGGATAAAACCCATATCTGGCACCATTACCAAGTCCAAGGATCCATAGCTAGATAGTTCACAGGTCCTAGGGGAAGGGCCTATGTAAACCAGAGTAGACTTGAACTTGTAGTGATCCTCCTTGTCTCTGCCTTCTGGTTGCTGGGAATATAGGCATTAACTCCATGCCTGACTTGATACGCAGTTTTGAGACTGGGTTTCTCTGTGTAGCTTTGGAGCCTGTCCTGGAACTCACTCTGTAGACCAGGCTGGCCTTGAACTCACAGAGATCCACCTGCCTCTGCCTCCCCGAGTGCTGGGATTAAAGTCGTGCGCCGCCACTGCCCGGCAATTATTTAAAATCTTTAGACCAAATACAGCTCTTCATAGAATTGTTTGGAGATTCCAAACATATATATGAGGTATTGTGAGTAGTGTTCAATCTAATGCTTGATATAATCAGTACTTAATAAATTACTAGCTGTTAACTTTTCCAGATTTAGAAAATCATCTTTTGAGATAATGATTAATTTTGCCCCTTTTTGCTCAACTTTCTTCTTCAGAAGCAGCTGCTACTTACAGATATCGATGACTGAATTACTGTAATTTTTTTTATTAAAATATGAAAACAAATTTTAAGGAGAAGCTGTTTGATTTTTTTCTATGATTTAAAAAAAAGTTTAAATTCACCCTCTTAGTTTTTGAGACAGAATCTTAACTGTATAGCCCAGGATGGCACTTAGCTGATCTTCCTGTCTTAGACTCCCCAAGTGCAGGAATTACAACTGTGTGCTGCCACACCTACATCAAGAGCCTCTGTGTGTGCTCACATGTATGTATACTATGTGGGTATGTAGAGGCCAGAGAACAGCTTCAGATGTCGTTCTTCAGGTACTATGTATATCCTTTCTCTCCCTTCTCAGAAAGACATGGTATCTCATTAGTCTGGACCTCCCCAAGTATTAGGTAGCCAACAAACAATCCTCAGGGTTCTGCCTGTTTCTTCCTTTCCAGCACTGGGATTACAAGCATGCCCCAATAATCCCTGCTCTTTTATTTAGTTTCTGGGGAATCAAACTCAGGTCCTTATGCTTGCAAGGGCAACACCTTATCTCTGAGCTATTTCTTTAGCTTAAGAAAGGCTGTTTTTAAAATAACATTCAAATTATCTGAATAATATAGTCTGATTATCTACTTATAGTGTGGGTTTATGGACCTCTAAGTGTAAATGATCTATGAACAGTGAGCATACTGATTATAAATTGTACTCATTTAAGAGAATAAAGCTGGTGAGTTAACTCAGTGGTAGAGGTACTCATTGCTAAGCCTGATGTTTTGCGTCCAGTTCCTGGAATTCACATGGTGGAAGGAAAAAACTGACCTTTAGAAGTTGCCCTCTGACCTTCATACATGTATTATTGAAAACACACATTCTATTTCTCTGTTTCTTTCTCTCAATAAGTAAACAAATAATACATATGAAAAATTTTAAGAAAAATTATATATCCTGGATTCAGTTTTTGAAAGGTCAAATCACTTATTATATTGCCAGTATAATAGTGGTACAAAGTAAAACTATAATTAGAAAAATGTCTTCAAGTGCCTGCTGATACAGTCACCAGTATTTTCATTTGTAATATACAAGATTTTAATGAAAATATTTTTAAAAGTAATACATGAATATAATACAAAATTCCAAGGGACAAAGAAGCACATTGAGGAAGAACAGTATCTTTCTTTTGCTTTTTGACTTTCTGCTGTCTAGTTTCCCTCACCAAAAGCATCACTGTTCTGTATGTTTCTGGAGATTCTCAATCTCCAGAATGTACAATGGTATGTGTGTATGTAAATATCATTAAAATAAATTGTACTTTTTTTATTTAAATTTTTTTTATTCATTTTACATACCAACCACAGATCCTCCTCTCATTCTTCCTCCTGCTCCCCCCTAACTTCCCATCCTCATCCCCTCCTGCAAAAGGGTAAGGCCTCCTATGGGAAGTCAGCAAAGCCTGGTACATTCAGTTGAGGCATGACCAAGCCTCTCCCCATAGGTAATGGGCTCCAGAAAGCCAGCTCATGCACCAAGGATAGATCTTGATCTTACTGCCAGGGGCCCCTCAAACAGATGCAGCTACACAATTGTTTCCTGTGTACTTATGTTTTTAATTTATTTATATAACATTTTATATATGCATTAGAATGATGAAAAGATAAAAATGAAATATTCCTATGGTTTTTTAAAAGTAGGAAAATGATGACAAGGATGCATATAATTTAAGGATAAATATGTACAGTAACTTAAATGTGGGAATAGAAATGTGCCTATTAATAGCCATACATGAAAAGTTAGCAGTCAAAATGAGAACTCAAACCTAATAAATTAATAAGCAATCATTAAAAAAAATCTTTGGAGATGAAAATATGGTTTGGATTATGATGCTATTCTTGTATTTTCTTTTAGGGATGAATTGGAATCAGCAAGAAAAGAGTTTATACAACAAGGAGAGGAAGTTAAATGTAAATTGGACAAGAGTGAAGAGAATGTATGTTATATTTAACAGATTGGATTAAAAAATTTAAATCATAAAAGCAATACAGACAATAAAGTGACCTGCACTATTATATAAATAGCTGGTGATCTAGGTACTAAGCTATTAACATTTAAAATATGGGTTAAGGGAGGCTAGAGAAATGGCTAGTAATTAAAAGCATTTGCTACTCTTGGCCAAAGACCACTAGGTTCAGTTCTTAGCACCCACATGACTCATAACTGTCTGAAACTCCTATTGTGTGAGATATGATACCATCTTCTGGATTCTGTGGACACTGAGCACATGTAGTACATACACATACAAACAAAACACATAAAATCCTTAAATGATATGGTCTAAGTTGGGTTGTTTTGATTATGATCTGTATTTGTAAGAAATAGTCCTATAATTCTAAACATATTAGAAAAACATTCATTTAAGTTTTTTCTATTATTTTATGTGTGGGTATTTGCCTGTGTGAATATTTGTGTACCTTGTGCATACTTGGTGCCCATGGAGGCCAGAAATCCCCTGGAACTGCAGTTACAGATGGTTGTGGGATGCCAGTAGGTGATGAGAAATAAACCCAGGTCCTCAGGAAGGGCATCCAGGGCTCTTAACTACTAAGCCATCTCTCTAGCGCCAAATGTTGAGCATTTAATTTTAACTTATTTTTAGGCTAAATTAAAGTCTCATGCTAGATAAAATAAAAAAATTGTGTTGTACCTTGAGTATGGTTTCAACAAGCTAAGATAAAATGTCACAAAACTATGAGAGTATAAAGTATTACATGATCACATGATTACACAGTATATATTGAATATAGACTGAGTGGGAGAAAATTGTGCTAAAGTTGAAATATCATGCTTGGTTATGAAGGCTCCTTCAATCATTCAAGTATTATCTAACACCAACTATGTCCCGGGTATTGTTCTACGTGCTGATTTTATATTTCATTTACTTTGGTCAGCAAAAGTGGTCTAAAGTTTTATTGGGGCAGTAAAATTTTTAATACTTATGGATTGAGGAGAGATGAAAGACAATAGAATCATTTGGAAAGCTACTAAAAAGTGTCTTAAAAGCACTGAAAAAAATGGAAGACTAGTCTTGTTTAGCTTACTTACTTATTTCTAAACTGGTCATTGTGGCTAGTAGATAATCTGAACAGAATTACTGTGGAGTTTACAATAAAGGAGTCCCTTAAAGGAAGGGCACTGGTATGGTCCTCTATATAGATTCTGTTACTTGAGCACACAGAATAGCAATTAATCAAAACTTAGTAAGACTGGGCATGCTTTCTAGAAGAAACATTCAGTTGACTTAAGTTAACAGAAATTAGTAGAAGGTAGGGTTTAACATGCAGAAGAAGAATATTCCAAATTAAAAAATTTATTTGAGGAAACCCCTGGAAGTATGAAAGACTGACAAATTTAAGCAACTAAAATTTATTGTGGCTGAAAGATAGAGGTTAAATTAGTAACAGTAGGGAGACTGGATAAAGATGAAGACAGGTAGAAGAGTGGAGAGGTAGAGGTAAGAAATAAGATATTTACCTCAGTAACATGTATTTATGAATTCAAGAATAGTGAAGAGTTTTGACTTGAGAATTGTTATATTTACCTTTTAGAAGTCATAAAAGACTGTTAGAGTAGTTGACATTTTTTTGAGGGCTTATGATGGAGCAGACACATTCAAGGTTCTTTCTATGTGTTATTTTACTTCACTGCAATTTAAGTATGGGGGACTGGGGCAATGGAGATGATTCACTTGGTAAAGTGCTTACCATGCAAATATGAGGCCTTGAGTTCAGATTACTAGCACCCACATGAAAGCTGAGCACAGTGGCACAAAGTGAAATCAGCCCTGGGAAGGTGGAGACAGATGCTCTCTGAAGCTCATTTGATTAGCCAGCCTAATCAAATGGATAAGCTTCAAGTTCAGTGAGCGATCCAATCTCACATGTACATGTGCGCGCAGCGCGCGCGCACGCACACACACACACACACACACACACACACACAGATGAACATAAAGAATTTAAAGTATAATCTATTTTGCTAGTGTAGAAAATATTAGTGAGAAGCAGACTGGAGAGATGGCTCAGCGTTTAAGAACAAGTAATGCTCTTACAGAGGATGCTAGTTCTTTAGCACTCATATTGGGAAGCTCACAGCTGCTTATAACTCTAGCTTCAGAGGATCTGACATCCTCTGAACTCCATGGGTACCTGCATTTATGTGCACAGGCCCACACACACGTACATGTACTTAAAAGTAATAGGAAAAATCTTTTCAAGAAGGAAATATTGGTAAGTAGGCATGAAATTAAATGTATGATGAATATATTAGCTTATTTCTATTTTCTGTGGTTGCTCTTTACCATTAAAACATTTTCTAGAAAAAGTTCAAATTATAAATATTTTTAGATAGTTTGCTTGACATATGTAGTTGAATTACATTCCCTTTTTCCCCCAGTTTACTACCTTATAAATGCTTTTGTTAGATACACTTATGACATAAAGATTTATGTAAAATATAATTTATGCCAGGCAGTGGTGGTGCACACTTTTAATCCCAGCATTCAGGAGGCAGAGGCAGATGGATCTCTGTGAATTTGAGGTTAGCCTGGTTTACAGAGCAAATTCCAGGACAACTAGAACTACATAGAGAAATGTCTCAAAAATCCAGTATTTATATATATATATATATATAAAATTATAATTTATGCATATATATTGTGAAATATTGAATCAAGGCAATTAACATATCAATAAAGGTATATTCTTTTTTAAAAGGACACTGAATAAACTAGATGAGCTGATAAGTGTTTTTATAAATATATAAAACTATTGGTGAAATTATTAAGGCCACTCCACATAGTTAAAAGGAGATTTATTTAATGGCGTAACTTACAAATTAAGGGATAGGTAGGTCGCGGGGTCTGGGGAAGGTGTATCGCAGTCCAGCGGTGTTCTCTGGAGCTCTGCTTGGTACACCTCTCCAGTCCAGGGTCCCGCAACAGAGAGAGCGCCCGCCAATCCAGATCTCGGGTCCCCAGGCGCCTCCTCTCGCCCCGCCTTGTAGGCGTGACAGTTGCCGAAGTCTCAATGGGGGTTGGAACTTCCAGATCAAAGCTGGAATGGCTACCCACTACATCAAACTAATTTCATTTCTAAAATGCATTAGAAAATGAAATTCTAATAGCACTTTAAATATGATTTCAAATTATATTTTTTTTTTAGGCTCGAAGCATTGAATGTGAAGTTTTAAAGAAAGAGAAGCAAATGAAGATACTAGAAAATAAGGTATTATCAAATTATGAAAACACTAATTAAAAAAAATCACTTGTGCCTGGCGGTGTTGGCGCACAACTTTTTTTTTAAACAATTTTTTTTTTTTTTTTTGGTTTTTCGAGACAGGGTTTCTCTGTGTAGCTTTGCACCTTTCCTGGAACTCACTTGGTACCCCAGGCTGGCCTCGAACTCACAGAGATCTGCCTGGCTCTGCCTCCCGAGTGCTGGGATTAAAGGCGTGCGCCACCACCGCCTGGCAGGCGCACAACTTTAATCCCAGCTCTTGGGAGGCAGAGGTAGGCGGACCTCTGTAAGTTTGAGGCCAGCCTGGTCTACAGAGCAAGTTCCAGGGCAGCTAGAGCTACACAGAGAAACGCTGCCTCAAGGAACAAACAAAAAAAATCACTTGTAAACAGAAAAAGCAATGCTATATAAAATTCATTCATATGCAGAATATTAACTAACTGTGGCTATGTAAGTATTACAAGAAAAAATTTTAACAATATTTGGTGCTTATGAAGGAGACTGAACTTTTTTTCTTGAGAGTTCTTTTACTCTAATGGGAATTAGAACAATTTATATATCTGATTTTTTAGGGCCTCTTAGAAATCTGTGTTGCTTTTACGGTACTTAAGATGTTCCTTGGACTAATAGATTTTAATTCAGTTCTGCATGTACTCAGATGAAATAAGTAAGATATTAAAAATTGGCTTAGTTGGTATTTCAGTAGGAAGAATTGGAATTCTGTCAGGAGGTAGAATATTAATACTTCTCTTGCAAATTTAATAACATTAGAATCTCAGAAATGAGAATGAGAGTATAACGAGTAATAAAGAAGACAGATCATATTTGTATTTTTACATTAACAGAATCATTTTTGAAATCACAAGTGAGCCCTATGTTATATCATGCAATATTTTATTAGTTTGAAATTGCTTATTTTGATCAGACTATTGAATAAAATTATATAATTTTTAAAATAATTTTACAGTGTAATAATTTAAGGAAACAAGCTGAAAATAAAAGCAAGTGTATTGAAGAGCTTCAGCAGGAGGTAGGTTTTCTTAATAACATAAATATTCTTAAAATTATCCCAATATTTACACTATAGTATTAAAGAGCAATGCTTTCATTTCTAGTGATTTAGGTCTAAGTCATGTCATTTTAAGTCTTAATCACCTTAGTATTAACTGTAATTAACTTTCCATAGAATAAGGCCTTGAAAAAAAAAAGTTCAGCAGAAAACAAACAACTGAATGCATATGAAATAAAGGTATGTGACATTTTTATTTTTGTTTTCTTAAGTACTAGTGGATACACGGGTTAGAAATACTATATTATTATAATTTAATGCTTACCTTCAGATACTGTTATATTTTTGGATTGAAGAGATTAATTCTTGTAGGTGTGATAGAATGTTCATTGTGATTTAGCTGGGTCAGAATCTTGTGAACAACTTAATATATGTGTGCATGCTCTGTGTGTGTGTGTGTATGTGTTTCTTTACCCATATATTATAAAAAAATTAAGTTAAGCATGGAATCTATATGTATTTTCTTTAATTTTTTTCCTATAATACATTTTGATCATGTTTATCCCCTCCAATTCTTTCTAGATCTTGCCTACTTCCCTACTGACCCAACTTTATGTTCTTTTTCTCTTTCTCATTAAAAAATAAACAGAAAAAGAAACCCACACAAACCATATAAAACTGAAATCAAAATATATGAGCAAAAGACCAGTAAGACAAAAAAGTGCTCAAAGAAAGCAGAATGTGATAAAAGCTTACAAAAACATGATTGAGTTAATTTTGTATTGGCTAACTACTTGTGGACTTGGGACCTGACCTAGAGTGTATTAATAAACCCAGTGAGACTCCATTGGAGAAAAATGATTTTTTTCCTTTGTCAGTATCATTTGAGGATAATTTCTTGGTTAGGGGTGGAAACCTATGTCCACTTCTCCCTCTCAGTGCTGGGACCCTCTCTGGCTTAAACCAATTTGTGTAGGCCTTATGTGTCTATTCCCACAATCCTGGTTAGTTCATATTTTCATTATTCCTATTGTGACTGGAAGACACTGTTTCCTTCATCTATCTATCACCTCTGACGCATAATCTTTCTGCTTCCCCTTCCTCATAGATCCCTGAGGCTTGTTGGGGAGGGCTTTGATGAAGACATCTCATTTAAGACTGAGTGGTACAGAACCTCTGCATATTCACAGTTGTGGGTCTCTGTGTTAGTTCTCATCTATTGCAAGAAGCTTTCTTCTCTGATGAGGGCTGAGCAAGGCATTGATCTAGCAGAATGTCAGTCATTAGGAGTCATTTATTGCTATGTTTCTTTAGCAGAATAATAGTATTAGATTTTCCCCTAGGCCTAGGTCACAAGTTCTTGGCTTCTTTAGCAAGTCAGATGTGGATTCTAGCCGGGCGGTGGTGGCGCACGCCTTTAATCCCAGCACTCGGGAGGCAGAGCCAGGCGGATCTCTGTGAGTTCGAGGCCAGCCTGGGCTACCAAGTGAGTCCCAGGAAAGGCGCAAAGCTACACAGAGAAACCCTGTCTCGAAAATCCAAAAAAAAAAAAAAAAACAAAAAAAAAAAAAAAACAGATGTGGATTCTGGCTCCTGCAGTAGGCCTTAAATCCAATCAGTAACTGGCTGGTTACTTCTGTAACATATGTGCCACTGTTGGCACCAGTATATCTTGCAGGCAGGTTACTGTAAAATATGGTTATCTTGTTGTAAAAAGGGTTTGAGACCCATCAACTTTGTAGAATATAAAACCCTAGAATGTAAGCATATGATGTCGGGACCAAATTTTGTCATCTTTCTCTTTAGGCAATGATTGATACTTAGTAAGTATTCAATGAATATTTTTAAATATTTAGTGGAGAGCAGTAGTTGTCAACATATTAAGTGAACACTTGGATGAAAATATTTTATAATATCTTGAAGTAGTACTTGAAACAAGGAATGTAAATCTGTCATTAATAAAAGCAAGTAAGAATTATCATAAACTTCTGAAAATTATATAGAAAATAGCCAGTAGATACATTCTGTAATTATGTACCTGAATTCCTTGAGACAGAAATTACCAGAAATTTTCATAGCTGTATTATTTACAATAGCCCCAAATGGAAGACAATACAGATATTCATTAGTAGCATGAAAATATTTAAGACATGCTCCTAAGATAACCTAAAAGTTGGACTTTGAACTGAAAAGTGGAACATATTATGGAACAAAAAATTCGTATGGTCCTGATAATATATGTTTAAAATGAATAAAATATTAGCAAAAATAAAGCTGTATAGGTAGAAATCATCTATCTCAAGGATCACAGAAAAATTTTTTGAAAAGAGAGTAGTACTTTACAGGCCTGTAGAACCAGCACCAAGTGATTTTAAAATATGTAATTAGAATCTCTGAGGAAGAGAGGAGAAAAAATGGCAAAAGGAATTAATTAGAGAAACTTATTTATTGTTTCTTATGGAGATCCTTTCTGGGTGGTATAGCTGCAGTGAATTTTCCTCTGTTAGCCTTGCTTCCAGCAGCCTTGCTTCTTTGCAGCCACTCCTTATCACTTCGTGGGACATGGTGAACCTTTTTCCTCATGTGCCTTAGTATTTGTAAGTTCATGTATATAGTATGTTTACATGTTTCACTTTGAAGGAAAGGCTGAAAGCTACTCAAAGTTGGACTTAAAGTTTAATTCAAGCTGATAGAATTTGATAGAATATATCAGTGGAAACTTGTACATATTTTTTTATGGAGCATGACTTGAAATTTTTAAGTAAAATGTTTTGAAATGAAAAATATGTGACTGTTGATATTATATTACTCGGCAAGACTAAATACATATTTTATGAGTCAAGATAGATTGTGAAAGATGAAACACATCTCACTCAGTATATGAAAAATCTAAGAAAATGGTTCAGCCATAATTTCCATGATTCTTTCAGGGTTTATAAAACTACAAATTAGTATGTAATATTTTTTAGCTGTGGAATTCATTAAAATTAATGTTACTTTCTTTACTTATAGGTCAACAAATTAGAGTTGGAACTAGAAAGTGCCAAACAAAAATTTCAAGAAATGACTGACAACTATCAGAAAGAAATTGAGGTCAAAAAGATAGCTGAAGAAAAGCTTTTGGGAGAGGTAGAAAAACCTAAATATGTTATGAACTTACTGTACTAAAAATGTTTGTTGATTAGCTTTAAAAAATAAGTACCTTTGCTGGGCGTTGTTGGTACATGCCTTTAATTCCAGCGCTCTGGGAGGCAGAGACAGGTGGATCTCTGAATTCAAGGCCAGTCTGGTCTACAGATAGAGATCCAGGATAGCCAGAGCTACAGAGACAAACCCTGTCTTGAAAACAACAACAACAAAATTAGTAGAGTATTTATAATACAGTCATTTTACTTTTTGAAATACACTAAAATAAACCAAACAATTGATACATTTTTTAAATGATTACTTTATTTTTTCCATTTTTCTTTATTAAGAAATTTTCTACAGACTCCGCATACTATCCACAGATCCCCCCTCCACCCACCCTCCAGCCCTCTTTCCCAAGCCACCCCACATCCCCACATCCCCCAAATCGAGGTCTCCCATGGGAAGTCAGCAGAGCCCAGCACACTGAGCCTAGGCAGGTCCAAGCCCCTTCCCACTGCACCAAGGCTGTGCAAGGTGTCACACCACAGGCACCAGATTCCAGAACCCTGCCCATAGACCAGGGACAGATCCTGATTCCCCTGCCTGGGTGTCCCCCAAACAGTTCGAGGCAAACAACCGTCCTCCGTATTCAGAGGGCCTAGTACAGACCCATGGGTGCTCCACAGCCACCAGTCCACAGTTAATGGGCTTCCACTAGTGTGACTGGTCATCTCTGCACGTCCTCCCATCATGATCTCAACGTCCCTCGCCTGCAGTATCTCTCCTCTCTCTCATTGGATTTCCGGAGCTCAGCCTGGTGCCTGGCCATGGATCTCTATCTGCCTCCATCAGTCACTGGACAAAGGCTCAATGATGACAGCTAGGTTATTTGCTAGGCTGGTCACCAGATTAGACCGGTCCAGGCACCCTCTGGACCACTGCTAGCAGACCAAGTTGGGTCAACCTTGTGGATTCCTGAGAGCCTCCCCAGCACCCTGCTTCTTCCTATCCCCATGATGTCCTCGTCTATCATGGTATCTTCCTCCCTGCCCTCCCACTCTGTCCCTGTTCCAGCTTGACCCTCCCATTTCCCTATGTTCTCAATTTGATACATTTTTTAAACTTACTTTGTTTTGAATTTTCTGCTGTTTGAGTTTTATATTCTATGTAAGTAGAATATATGCTTCTAAAAGGAAAGATTGAATTTTTTTTAATTGGTATAAAGTCCAGCACCAATAAATAAAAAGAAACACTTTTTTTTTTAATTTGATAGGTTGAGAAAGCCAAAGCAACAGTTGATGAAGCAGTGAAGTTACAGAAAGAAATTGATTTACGATGCCAACATAAAATAGCTGAAATGGTAGCACTTATGGAAAAACATAAGGTAACTTAATATAATAAAATTATTATTTGCCTCCTAGTTGCAAATAAGGATGTAAGCTCTTAGCTACTAATCTGGTGTCAAGCTGCCTGATGCCATGCTCCCCATTATGATGGAATAGACTCTAATGATCTATAATTGTAAGCCCCCTATAAACTTTCTTCTATAAAAACGTTATTTCTTAGTGCATATTTCTATTAAAATGATGAGCTTTTGGTTTATCAAAGAAGTTATTTTCTATACAACAGTAACTAATTATAGCTCGACTATTATTGATCCCCTATTTCTCTAAGTTCAGATCTTTTTCTTTTTTGGTGTTTGGTTTTTGGTTTTTTTTTTTTTTTGACACAGGGTTTCTCCGTGTTGTTTTGGTGCTGTCCTGCATTTCGCTTTGTAGACCAGGCTGGCCTCGAACTCACAGAGATCCAGTTGGCTCTGCCTCCCGAGTGCTGGGATTAAAGCTCTGCACCACAACCATCTTGCTAAGTTCAGATCTTAACCATTCAAAGCTGAGCTAAGGTGTCACTTCCTCCAGTAAATATCTTGTTATCATTTATAGAAAATGGAAGTAGTCAGGCTTTCTATATTCTTCTAGTAGTCTCATAGCACTTCCCATCTTTTATTAACTACATACCCAGGATATTTCTCACTAATTCACTTATTCTCTATATATATCTAACATTTACCATGTTGAACAAGGGAAATAATAGATTAAAGACTTACATTTTTGATTGTGAGCCTACCTTTTGATGGCTGATCTATCTTTCTAGCCTGGGGAAAGACTTAATATTTGTTGTGAGTACCTTTTGTTTTTCTATTGTTTGACTAATTCTTTTAGGTAAACTTCATTTTCCTTCAGATTTGGAGAGGAAGCAGCTTGTCCTTACCTATTAATTTTTAAAAATTGGAACCAGAATCTAACATTACTAAAGTTTTATCAATAAGAATTTTAATGCAGATTTAAATAATATTATACATAAACTAATAGATTTAAATTCATACTGTTTCAATCTAGTGCCACTTATAATCCATATTGAAAAGTTGTTTTTCCTTTGTCCAGGGAGTGCCTCTTCCAACTGATAGGCAAATCCTTTTGACCTGACTTGAATAGTCTTTAATAGCTTTTTTTTTTTTGGTTATGATAAAAATTTTCAAGGCTTGGATTGTGTTTCCTATCATAGATTTCAAATCAGTCACTTTTCTAAGACATCTTGGTGTTATATTCATATTGAACAAAACTCTCACTTTGTAGCTCAGGTTGGCCTTGAACTTGTGATATTCAAGCCTCAGCCTCCTGAGTGGTAGGTTTATGGACATGGTGAGCTTACCCAACTCAGCTATACTTCTTAAATTATGAAATTTAATGTTTCCAATTAAAATAACTATTTGTTTTTGTGTTGGATTATGTCTAAAACTTGTCTTATGTTTCACTGTTTAGGTTGTTAGAATATATATATGAAAAACAAAAATACATATTCACTCAAATTTATCATGACAGTTTTTTCAAATTTTTTTAAAAAGATTATTTATTTATTATGTATACGGCATGTATGACTGCAGGCGAGAAGAGGGCACCAGATGTCATTACAGATGTGAGCCACCATGTGGGTGCTGGGAATTGGACTCAGGACCTCTGGAAGAGCAGTCAGTGCTCTTAACCTCTGAGCCATCTCTCCAGCCCCTTTTTTCAAATATTTAATGTGTAGTATACTAATCTTATAAATTATAATCTATTCCATTTTTTGTTTTGGTTTTTTGAGATGGGGTTTCTCTGTGTAGTTTTGGTGCCTGTCCTGGAGCTCACTTTATAGACCAGCCTGGCCTCGAGCTCACAGAGATCTGCCTGCTTTGCCTCCTGAGTGTCCGGATTAAAGGCATGTGCCGCTGCCACCACCCCTCCCCCCCCCCCCCCCCCCCCCCCCCCCCCCCGGCTCCATTTTAATATGGTTAAAATGCTTTCTTTGTTTAATACAGCACCAGTATGATAAGATTGTTGAAGAAAGAGACTCAGAATTAGGACTTTATAAAAGCAGAGAACAAGAACAGTCATCGGTGAAGGCTGCCTTGGTAAGACAGAATAAATACAATAAAAGCCAACTCTTAAAATACCAGCATTTAGGAAAAAGAGTAATACTAAGTAGAGCCATGGTATTTGATCTGTAATCACAGTCTTAGATCTAAAAGGATTTTACCTATTTCCTAGTAAATTGCTTTTCCAGTTCATTTTACATTATAGCTTAAAGTGTCTTTACAACAGAAATGTTAAAACGTCAGTTAAACTAAATTTAAAGTTGATATTTGGACAGGAGAGTGAGGTAGAATAAGAGAATATGAGTATATGTGTGTATGTGCATTTGTTGTATGTGTATGTATGCTATTTTAGTCCTTTAGAGAAAACTATGGAAAACTTGAAGCTTATTTATGTTGAGTCTAGTTATGTTCCATTACCAGCCTTCACATGTATGATTTGTTGTTGTTTGTTCTTTGGCTCTTTTTTGGGGGCCCGCCACCCAGCTCCCAAATAAATCAAACACAAAGGCTTATTCTTACTTATGAGTGCCCAGCCTTAACTTGGCTTAGTTTCTTGCCAGCTTTTCTTAACTTATCCGGTCTACATTTTGCCTCTGGGCTTTTCCCATTCTCTTACTTTTGTAAACTTTATTCTTTCTCCATGGCTTGCTATGTAGCTGGGTAGCTGGCCCCTGGAGTCCTTCTGGCTGCTCCTTTTCCTCCTCCTCCTCCCAGATTTCTCCCTCTGTTTATTCTCTCTGCCTACCAGCCCCGCCTATCCTTTCTCCTGCCTTGCTATTGGCCAGTTCTTTATTAGACCATCAGGTATTATAGACAGGCACAGCAACACAGCTTCACAGAGTTAAACAAATACAACATAAACAAAAATATCACACCTTAAAATAATATTCTACTACAATGATTTTTTTTTTTGAGACAGGGTTTCTCTGTGTAGCTCTGGCTGGCCTTGAACTCACAGAGATTCACCTGCCTCTGCCAACTGAGTGCTGGGATTAAAGGTGTGTGCCACCACCACCTGATTACATGTATGATTTTTATTTGAAGCACTAGATTACAGTTTCATTGTCTTTAGAAATATGTAAAAGCACTAACACACTTCATCATTTTTTTCTTTAGGAGACTGAACTAGCTAATATCAGAAACGAACTTGTGTCCCTTAAGAAGCAACTTGAAATAGAAAAAGAAGAAAAAGTAGGTTTTGTGACATTACATGTAAGATAATTGTAGGATTTTGGTACAACATTGTGTTTTATAAATGCCATATTATAAAATAATTTGACAAATTTGGGTAATTAGTAGTAAGAAAATACTGCTGTTCTCTACTTACCTGTGAGCATCTAACACATACCATTAAAAAAAATACGTACTTTCAAGAATAGAAATGTTTTCAAATATGCTGTATTTGTTTAAGAAATATCTCAAGATTGAAGAGATGATTCTCAAGTTAAGAGCATGCACTTGCTTGCAGAGGATCCAAGACCCACTCCCAGACAGCTCACAGCTGCTTATATCTGCAGCTCTAGAGGGAAATCCAATGCCTCTAGTCTCTGTGGGCACCTGCACTCTAGTGAACATACCCAATTTGGATAGGTACACATAATTAAAAATAATTCTTAAAAAAGGAAATGCTATTTGTAATGGGCCTAGGTCAGTCCCATGAAGGCTCCCTAGCTGTCATTTCAGAGCCTGTGAGCTCCTGTGAGCTCAGGTTAGTTATTTCTGTGGGTTTCCTTGTAATGACCTTGACCACCATCACTTGTATAATCCTTCCACCTTCTCTTCAAAAGGATTCTTGGAGCTCTTAGTCCAGTGTTTGGCTGTGGATTTCTCTACACACATGTGACAGTTGTGTAGCTTGCTTTGTTTATATGGGATTCCTATTAGCAGGATCAGGGCCTGTCCCTAGCGTTTGAGCTAGCTTTGGGGAACCTATTCCTTATACTGAGTTGCTTTGCTCAGCCTTAATACAAAGGGAGAAGCTTAGTCCTACCTCAACTTGATATGCCATGCCTTGTTGACACTCATGGGAAGCCTGACCCTTTTGGAACAGAAACAGAGGAGGAATGGATTGAGGGGTCGGGGCAGAGGGGAGATAGGGGTAGAGAGGGAACATGAGGAGAGGAGGAAGGGGAAACTGTGGTCATGATGTAAAATAAATGATAAAATTTAATAAAAAATACTGGAAATACACACACACAAGGAAATATTATTTCATAGTAAATGCTTATATATTTAATATGAGTTTTTAAAAAGCTTTTTAAAGTTATAGAAAAATGTCTTACATCTTTATGATATTGTGTAGTTTGCAAGATACTATGACTCACACTTAAAATACCAAATTTCCTTTTTTAAACTTTTTGTATGGCAGATACTCTGCTGAGCATTTATATCTAGCTTAATAATAATTAGCTTGTGCAATATTTACTGTCTTCTTTTTTGTAATGGTTAGGTTATTTATTAAAGATTACATAATAAAGTAGAATAGCTAGACTTCAACCTAGTTATATTTTGCATGATTTCAAAACCTATTCTGTTAACTCTGCAACAGCCTTGTAAAGTATAGTTTCAACTTGAAATCTCAGTGAGTTTATTAACTTTGTACCATACTGAAGTCCTTTATCCTCTTCAATCTGTGGAAAATTTCACACAAATGTCAGTTTATTATATTTAAGTTTTCTCATACATACATGTATATACTTTGTGTTATATCACAAGTTTTTAAGGCTAGGATTATGTCTTATCTCTGTCTTGTTTGAAATTTGTATGTCTCTAATAAATATTAGTTAAATAGATGGGTAAATTGATTTCATTTCACCTGTAGTTACAACATTGATACTTTCCTTTATCCTATAGTTTCAATAGATAAATTCTTCTGTGTCTTTACTTTTCATTTTCTTGGTTAAACCTGAGCTTTCTTAAAGTTTTATTTATTTTATTTTGTTTTGAGATGCTGAGGATTGAATCATTTTTCTCTTTAATAAATACAAATAAGACCTCACCGTACTAAAGTCTTAATACACATTATATTACCTACTATCTATTAGATTTATACATTTGGCCTAACCATTTCCCATAATTTCATTAGTGTTCCACTGTTTCTTCTAGAGTGTAGAGGTCAGTCTCCATGTATTTATGTAGTGTTTCTTGCTATTAAATTTTCTAGTTTTATTGGATTTTCATGATAGGATACAAAAAGTCATTTCAGTTATAATTTTTTTTGAAAGAGTTGATTTGTGGCCATTTTTAAAAGCTTCAGTAGGCTCCTGAGGAATGCATGTTCTGTATTTGTTAGTTGGAATATTTTGTATCTATTTGATATAGTATGTAGTTTAACTCTGAAAAATCTTCTGATTTTTACTTTGTATAGTCTATGTAGTGGAGAAAGTTAGATATTGAAATCACTCATGTTATGTCAAGATGTATGTCAAGACCCTTTATGGTTTTGTTTGTTTTTTGAAATTGGATACCTCAGTGTTTGGTGGATATATAATTACAATGTTTTATAATGTTGATGATTTGTTCCTTTTATTAATATATAGTGGTCTTTTTCATCTTTTTTGACTTCTTTGTTTGGCATATACTTTTCCAGGTATCAAAATAGCTATACCAATTAGCTTTTGGTTTCTGTTTATTTGGTATATTGTTTTTCAAACTTTGACTCTTAGAAGGTGTCTTTACTTGTCATATATGTGTCTTGGAGACAATACATACTTATATCTAGTTTTTTAGATCCAATTAGCAAATCTGTATTTATTTATTGGTGTATTGAAGTGTAGCTAGAGTTTTCCTGCCTTGCCCACAGTCAGGACAAATCTTTGTCACCCGCCAGTCCCACAGCTGTCAGACCCAACCAAGTAAACACAGAGACTTATATTGCTTAGGCCGTGGCAGGCTTCTTGCTAACTGTTCTTATAACTTAAATTAATCCATTTCCACAAATCTGTACCCTGCCACGTGACTCATGGCTTACCGGCATCTTCACATGCTGTTTGTCATCGTGGCGACTGGCAGTGTCTTTCTCTCAGCCTTCCACTTCCCAGCTTTATTCTCCTCCTTGTCCCGCCTATACTTCCTGCCTGGCCACTGGCCAACCAGTGATTTATTTATTGACCAATCAGCAACACACTTGACATACAGACCATCCCACAGCATTGAAGCTATTCACATTTAAAGTAAATATTGAGAGGTTTTTTTTTTTCTTTCACTAATTCCAGTGATTTACTTGCTATTTTTCTGGTTGATTGGATTTCTGTTCCTTTTCTTTTTTTCTACTAGTATTAGTGCTTGCTGGTTTACTGTGATAGGAATGATGGATTCCTAGTTCTCCTTTGCTCATCTTCTCTTATATAATTTATTCTTTCCTGTGCTTTCTTGATTGAGACAGTCTTTTTTCCCATGTGTATAGTGTTCCTTGATCTACTGTAGTGCAGTGGTCATGAATTGCATTAGTTTGTGCTTGTCTTGACATGTACTTTATATGTCAGGTTTTGGGTTGTTTGGTGTTTTGAGACAGGATTGCTCTGTGTAGCCCTGGCTGTCCTGGAACTTGCTGTGTAGACCGGGCTGATCTTGAACTTGCAGAGATCTGCCTGCTTCTGCCTCCCTAGTGTTGGGATTTAAGCCATGCACCACCACTGCCTGGCTTATATAAGGTAGCTTTGCTGGATGTAGTGATCTTGGATTGGACTGTTGACAAATAGATATTGGACAAAAGTCTGAAGTTCATCAAAGCTATCTTCAGTGTGGTAGTTTTTCTTCTTTCTGTATGAGGTGCCTCTGTGGGGCACACTTAACTTTGCCATCTATGGTCCAGGCAGATTGTTTCACTCACCTAAGACTCCTCAGATCAAGTCCTTGCAGTGGTTAATGTTTTTGATAGCAGGTGTTTCTTAAGTGATTGGGAGGTGTGGGAAGCAGCCACAACATTGAGATTTGTACAGGTGAAGGACTTGACTGTATTTTCAAGGCTTTCTGAAAGATGCAGCTGTGAGTATCCTGTATACTCCTGGTACATCAGAGTTCTCAAGCTCTTTAGTAGTGAATAGCAGATTGGTGGCTCCAGAGTTCAATCCATCTGCTGGCCTAGAATAATCAAACTCAAAATCTGTTCACCACTAGGAATATTGGGCTATCCTTGTGCACCTTCGGCTCAAGCTAAGCCTTCTGTCCCTTGTACCCTTTTGACTTGTCAGTGTCTGGCTTTCCTCCACAACTGTCATTATGGGCCTTCTCTTACTTGGGCCCTGTAAGTGAGGCTTCCTGACCTATGGCTATTCCCTGACTTCCGGTGCCTGGAATAGCTAGGTTTTTAGAAGTAGACTTTTCTCAAGATCAGATGTGGCCACTGCCCTATGAATCATGTAGATGACAAAATGAGATTTCTTTCTCCTTCACCAGCTCACATAGAGACAATCTCTAGTTTATCATCTTACTCAGAACTTCTAAGTTTTTTTTATTATCTTGTTGTGAACAGAGAGTTTTAAGATCTTCAGTTCATCTTTTCTTATTCTGTGACCAGATCTAATACAGAGAATATGGCAGTTTATTCAAAGTGTATACTTAGGATTTAAACAATTGATTATAGTTCAGGTTTATGGTCCCCTGTGCTCATGAATTAGACACAGTTTAATTCTTTTTGTCTCCCAACCCTGGTATACTTTCACTCTTCACTGGTAAGAAAGTTTCAATATTATGTGCTCTAAGAATTAGTGTTAGGTAAGAGTTCTATGTTTGATTACCTTAAGTCTGAAAGTTTTATTCTCAGTGCACAAATAGTAGGTTAGATACAATATGTATTTGTGATATTATTGCAGATATTGCAGAATGCTTCCATAAGACAACCTTATTTCTTTGTAAGTTGATGTTTAAAATTTGAACACACGGCTGTTCTTTTCTACTTTGGTATCTCAAGTTAGTCTTGTTTACCAAGACATATTTTAGGCACATTTTATTTATCATATTAGACCGGGACCTCTTTAGGCACTTTGGTAGTAAGGGGTCATGATCAGTTATCCACCACCAGAGATATATTTTTGTATATGATTTGGTCCACAGGTTTGAAACTCGTGTCAGCTAACTGTAATAATGATCTATACCAGAAAAATTCATAGTTGTTTTGACTGTAGCTGTGAGAGTGCTTTCTCTTTATTCTAGGAGCCATGATGTCCTAGAGTAGTTATAATATTACTAGTTTAACAAATATGCTTTGTCCAGGAGTACAATATTCTAGATCTTTAGAGTAGATCCCAGTTGTCAGTATAACTGGAGGCTAACCACTGGTAGATGATATACACTAAGAAAGATGCATACTATTAAATCAGCTTACTGCTAGATTCTTTCATAATGAAGTGAGTTCTTTTGTTTAGGAGAAATATTGTGGGAGAGATAGCATGGTGTATACAAGGTGAATGATTCAATGTGGATGGATACTGGCATAGGTATCATGAGTGGGCAAATTAAGTTTTGACTGTCTAAAGTTCTGTGCACTAGGAGAATTTAGTTTTTCTGAGGCCTTTATGCTTCCTGGAGGCTATCACCAGTCTGTTTTATATATGATTGTCATATTAAAAATGTTCAATTTGTCTTAGTTAAGATTTTCATTGCTGTGATAAAGACCATGACTATAAGCAAGGGTTTATTTCATTTCATTTTCATATCACAGTCTGTTGTCAAAGGAAGTCAGGGCAGGATCTCAAGCAGGGCAGGAACCTGGAAACAAGAACTGATGCAGAGGCTGTAGAGGAGCGCTGCTTACTGGCTTGCTCCCCATGGCTTGGTCACCCTGTTTTCTTATGCACCTCCAGGACCGCCAGCCCAGGGATGGCACTACTCACAATGGGCTGAGCCTTTCCACATCTTCAGTCAAGAAAAATATACCATAGGCTTGCCTACAGACCAGCCTGGTAGGGGCATTTTCTCAGTTGAGGTTCTTCTTCTAAAAGGACTCTAGCTGTGTCATGTTAACATAAAACTAGCCAGCATCAAAATACATTTTCATTTCTGTAAGCAAGACTTAGGTTTTCTATTTTAACTACTAAAGAAACCCTACAGTCTAGCTTGTTACACTTTTATCATAGTCTCTTCATTTTTTTCTTGGCTGTTCTATACACACATCCTGTTTATTAAAAGTTAGATATTGTTTGTTAACTTTGTATACTTCTTGGAACTTATTAATATGACGTTTTGCTTCTCAGCATATTATTTTATACTTCATCTTTATTTCATCTCAAAAGTTAGTTTATTATTCAAAGTACCATTAAGATGTACTTTGTTAACATCTAGGGGGAAAGATGATTGTATCTCTCAAGATACACCATAATTTGGATTTCTTTGCCACTCTTTATTGTTTAGTTACTTGTCTATAGCCCATACCCTGTTGTTTTGCCCATCTATTTCATTTTACAAGTCAGAAAGTTGAGATTCAGAACTTAAAGAAACTTACTAATGATTCCACAGATGTGTAAGAGAGAGGGAATAGAATCAAAAGATAAATCCAAATAACTCTATAGAAGTGAGTTTTATTCTTTAATAGTTATTAGAAAATGTTTTGACAAGTTTGTTTTAATTGTGTTAATAGTATCGATTGTTATATATAATTTGCTATTTATTTTTAATAGGAAAAACTAAAACTGGCAAAAGAAAACACAGCTATTCTCAAAGACAAGGTAAGAGGGTTTTGGTTTTTTTTTTTTTTTTTTTTTTTTTTTGGTCTGAGACAGGGTTTCTCTGTGTAAAAGCCCTGACTGTCCTGGAACTACCTCTGTAGACCAGTCTGGCCTTGAACTCACAGAGATCCACCTGCCTCTGCCTCTCTAGTGCTAGGATTAAAGGCATGTGCCACCACCTGGTAAGGTAAGAGTTTTATGTCTTTCTGTTTTCATTATAACCAATTTATTTTCAATCCAGTTTGAACCTAGGGCCTTGCATGTGTTAGGCAAATGTTCTGCTACTGGAGTATATCTCAGCATAAACCCATTTTTTAAACATTTATTTAGAAATAATTCTTGTTGCTCATAAGTAGGAAAATAACTTAAAATAATGTCATACAATTTCATTTCCGAAATTATTTCTTGGTATATTAATTTAAAGGTATTAGCTAAAATTTTAAAACATTTGTCATTTTGTTTTGGAGATTTAGAGATGGCTTCAATATAATTCTTTAAAAACTTTTAATTACATTTATTCATTGTGTGTGTGTGTGTGTGTGTGTGTGTGTGTGTGTGTGTGTGTGTGTGTGTATGTGTGTATGTGTACATGCCACAGTGCCTATGTGGAGGTCAGAGGATAAGTTGTGGAAGCTGTTCTCCTTCCATCATGTGTGTCCTTTGGATTGGATGAAAGTTGGCAGGTTATTTTCTGAGCCATCTCGCCATACACACACAAAAAAATAGTAAAATAAAATAATAATAATAAAACAAATAATATAATAAAAATAAAAATTATATTAGTAGAGCTCCCTACAGTGGAAGGAAGTTCCAGTGTGGGGAAGAAGAGTTAATCCAGAGCCTCTAACTTAACCAGTTTTGGGGTTAAATTCTTTTTTTCTTTATAACGATGCTGTCTTCTAACAGACATTGATATGATTATAGTTACATTGAAGTGAGAAACAGAGTACTCTGGGAATAACTCAGTTGTTAGGCATAGACGGTGCCATAGCTTTGTGAACTTGGAGCTAAAGAGAGAGAAGAAGGAAGTATTGAATCTGTTTGAGAATACTTAGTGTTTTATTTTCCCAGAGCCTGTACCAGACACCTGAAAAGATTATCATTGAAGAAATTATCATCATAATAAAATAAACCAGCAAGGTTGTGGTCAGTGCACTATCTGATAAAGATAAAAAATATTTAATCACTGATATTCTTTTATAAATATAGAACATTCATATAATTAAATTATATATTACATGTTTTCCTAGAGATATGCTGATTCATGTTTAATTATATCTGTTATCAGATAGGTTAGTAAGTGCTATATCTTTTATCTGGGGAGTCTGCATGTTATGTGTGCTGCAAAAAATTTTAAAAATTATTAAAGAATTGAAGAAATTTAACTAGGCCTTTGGGAATTATACTTTTTCTAACCATGGTAGAATATCATAGATCTAATATAATCATTAAATTGAGCAAATGTTTCTGATTTTGTGTAAGTTACTTAAATTCTTCATGCCTTAGTTTTCTCATTAAAAAAATTAAGAGATTATTTTATCTCATCTCTAAAGAGATTATCTTACCTACATCTTCAATTTGTTAGTATTAAGTGAGATGGTATTTATAAACTATTTAAAATAATCTTTGGCATAGAGTAAATGACATATAAGATAAAAGCAACAGAGAGAATCAGTGTGTTCTGCATCATTTGAAATATAATCAGAAAAATTATGGTGTTTACATAAATACATATTTCTATGATTATTTCCATTATTGTGAAGAAAGATGTACTCTCCAAGGGATGTTAAAGTCAGGGCTGTCTTTTCTTTTAGGCTATAGGATAAATGGCATTTCCCTGATATGGCCACAAGGTGGTGGAACAGTGACTTTAAGTTGCCACTCTGAGATCTAGTTGGGGAAAATTTGTCCTGGAAAAGCTCTAGTCTGGAGATTCCAAGTATTTCCTCTGATGAATTCAATCCAGAGAGCAGGAAAAAACATGAATTTTCAGTTACAGTATAGAAACATGTATGAAAAGGATACAGAAATGCAATTGAAAAAAAAGTGTCAGACCTTTACTACTGCATTTGGGAGGCTAAGATTGCTGCAAGTTCAAAGACAACTTGATATACATAGGAGTTTCAGACATATTCTCAAAAAAAGTCCAGAAAAATGAAAAATTACTACTTGCTGGAAAAATGGTTATGAAGTGATAGATTATTAGCATGAGGCAATAACTGAATCATTTTTATTTAGTAACTTGATTTTCTAGATAAGCAAATTTAATCCTGGGGATGTGCTTGTAATCACCTGGCAAGACAGTAATATACACAGAGAAGAGAATATTATATGCTCATACTTTAATGTTTTTTTAATACTATCTGTAGTCACTTAAATTTTAACTTTTATTTTTATTTAACATAATTTCCTTATTGATACTTTGGGAATTTCACATCGTGCACCCCAATTCTGCTTACCTCCCAGTACCTCCTTATCTGCCCCTCACCCTTGCAGCATCCCCCCAAAAGAAAATTTTTTAAAAAATTAAAAAATTCAGCTGGGCAGTGGTGGCGCACGCCTTTAATCCCAGCACTCGGGAGGCAGAGGCAGGAGGATCTCTGTGAGTTCGAGGCCAGCCTGGTCTACAAAGTGAGTTCCAGGAAAGGCGCAAAACTACAGAGAAACCCTGTCTCGAAAAACCAAAAAAAAAAAAAATTAAAAAATTCAAACCAAATCAACTAACTAGCCAACCAACTAAAAACCCGCAAAAATAACAACAAAACAAAACAAACAAACAAAAACCCTCTTCCCTCCTCTGTCTTTCCTTCCTCTTCAATACCTCTTCATTTGCGCTTAGTGGCATTGGGAGCCTCGGTGTGTCACATAGTGTACTCTTTTGTCCAGTAAGTTTTACTTGGAAAAATGTTCATTTCAGTGAGTCATTGGTCTGCCTCAAAGCCTCTGGTTTCTGGTATACCATCATCATTGGACCTTCACCGAAACTCCTCTGGAATATACTGTGGCTGCCCTGAGTCATGAAGATCCTGTTGGTATTCTTCCACAGGACCAGTCCCTTCATGAGCTCCAGCGAGTCCTAGATGGGGTAGATGTTAGGGTGGTCTAACCCAAGGCCAGGCTATGGATGGGCCTGGGTGGTAACTGAGCTGGTCAGTCCAGGCCACTGGGGCCTCCACCTCAGGTGAGGGGCAGAGCCAGTTCTTCTATGCCCATGCCATCAGGGGCAGTTCTCCCTCTTTGGTGAGGGGTGGGTCCATTTCTCCTGAATGTGGGGGCCAGCTCTCTTGCTGCAGTGTCCAGGGCCAGCTTTCTCAGGGCCAGTGAAGGGCAGGGCTGGCTCAGAATGAACCTCTGATTTCATCATACATGGTTCCTATGGCCGCTTGTGGTAACATGGACCACAGACATCAACACAGCTGTGGTAGGACCATGGATCCAGACATGGTCCTCAGCAGCATTTGGGTCTGAATGTCACCATTGCCCCAGTGTCAGTGCAGGCTACTCAAAGGGGCACAGCCCCAGCAGCAGTGTGCAGTGTGGCCCTCAGACACTAACATGGCCCCAGGTGGTGGCCCAGACTCTGGGCATCCGCATGGCCTTTGATGGTAACAGGAGCCTCGGACATCAACACAGACCCTGGCTGCAGTAGGGCCACAGACCCAGACATGGCCCTTAGCTGCAGCTCTGGTCTGGTCATCACCATGGCACTGGGTAACAGCACAGGCCACTCAGATCTGTATGGCCCCACCTTTATTTTTTATGTGTATTCATTCAAGTCTTCATTCATGTCTGTGCTTGCAGTTCCTGAGAAGGCCAGAAGTGGGTGTCAGCTCCCCTGCGACTGGAATTAAAATTGGTTGTGAGCTACCATGTGGGTGCTAGGAATGGAACAGGGGTACTCTATAAGAACATTCAGTGCTCTTAATCACTGAGCAAACTCTCCAACCTTTTGCAATCACTTTTTAATTATGTTCCTTAATACCCCTTAGTTTAAACTCATTCTCCTAGTTCAAATACCAAATTTTTGAAATATTGTACATTAGTCCTGTGTGTGTGTGTGTGGTGTGCACATTTGCATAACTGTGTGTATTTCATTCTGTCAGTTGAGTGTTTTCCATAATTGTATTCATGGAGATGATGATGACCAAAGAAAGAGATAAAATAGAATATGTTGTACTTGGAATTCATATAATATTCTACTAAAGCAATTACTACTACCTTTGAGGGCTTAGGATGTACCTCAGTCATAGGGGGACTTCATAGCATGTGTAAGGCTCTAGGTTTGATCCCAGTACACACACACACACACACTCTCTCTCTCTCTCTCTCTCTCTCTCTCCCTCCCTCCCTCCCTCCCTCCCTCCCTCCCTCCCTCCCTCCCCCCTCCCCCCATCTCCCTCTCTGTCTCTCTTTCTCCTGTGTGTGTGTGTGTGTGTGTGTGTGTGTGTGTGTATTTCGCTAGGAAATTTTTATCTTTTATATTTTATACAGTGTATATGGAAAGAAATTACTAGCAATTTACCATGTGAATTGCTAAAGGAAGCTGCATACAAAGATAGAGTTGGAAAAACCATTGAGTTGAAATAATGGCAAAGTATTTAGAGTAAATTTGTAACATACTCTCAAAATTGGAGCAAATGACCATTTTTTCATTTTTTTCCCCTGAAAATTTCCCTGTTGGCACTTTTTCCTCCCTTTAAAAGATGAATGAGACTGCAAAGCTAAAGTATTTTTGAGTTTGAGGCCAACATGGGCTTCATAATGTGACATTATTTTAAAAATCAAACTAATATGGTTTTATTTACTTTTGTCCAATGTAGAAAGTACAGGCATCTTTGCTGGAATCACCTGAAGCCACTTGTCGAAAATTTCATTCTAAAACAACTCCTTCACAAAGTATATCTCGGATTTCCTCATCAATGGATAGCGGCAAATCCAAAGATAATAGAGATTGTCTGCAGACATCTGCCAAAACCAAAAACATTTTATCTACAACAGTTGTAAAGGTTGGTTGATGTATATTTCCAAGATAATAGTATTTTTTTAATAAAAAAGGTTTTGGTATTATATGCCATAGATTATATACATATAAAACTAGTTTTTGGGTTTTTTCTTTCTTTTTTTTTTGCAAAGACCATTTTTTTTGTGGCATCAGCATGAAATGTTTCATTTTTAAAATCATTTTTTTTTCTCATTTGTTCAAACTAAATGGCATCTTGGGCAGATTCCATTACTTGCTGTTTCTTTACCATTGCAAAGTCTTGGATGTGAGAGGTCTGGTTCTGATTTGACGTTTTACAAGATTTACTACCCACATTACTATTTGTTCTACATCATTTTTCTGCCTTTTATTTAGCAGTCATCTTGGAGTAATTGTCATAAGCAAGATGACTCTATTTTAGCTGCCTTCTACATGTTTATTTATTTGGGTTTTGTGAGACAGGGTCTCTCGTAGTCTTGGCTGGCCTTGAATTCACTGAGATTCTCCTGCCTCTGTCTCTGCCTCTGAAGTGCTGGGAATGAAAGCATTTTCCACTACACTTGGCCACATATTTATTTAATGTGCAGGGAAATCATACAACCTTGCCACACTAAGTGTAAGGCAGATTTTTATTCTGATAACCCCTCTTTTATATGCTATTCAACTCTTAATTTTCCTTTCCTCTACATAGCCAGGCACAAGGAGAGCTAAATAGATTTGTTACCCGAGTGCATAACTTACTAGAGAGTGAGACACTCTCCTTCCACTGTTGAAGACTAGTCTTTACTGTGGGAGCCCGTTCTCGGGTTCCTTGTGGCTTTACCCAGCAGGTCCGCATAGAGGATGATTAGGACCACGGGCCTGAGTACAGGTGTCTGAGATGGTCTGCACTTGGCTGTGCTGGGGGAGGAGGTCTTTTGCTCCACCCCTTGGCGTCTCTATAAAAACCCTGGGGCAGAGACAGTCGGGGCCCATTGGAAAAGGTTCCAGGCCCTCTCGAGGCTATCCTTTATTTTCTATCTGTTTATCTCCGCGATATTCTCCGCAATAAATCCTTCTATCTAATATTTCCTGCTGCTCACACTCAAGAAAACTCTGGGGAACTGTGGGGGTGGTGGGTAAACGCCCCACAGAATGGCGCCATGAACAGGGACTAAAGAAAAAAAAGGGACTAAAGAAAAAAAGGGGGGACTAAAAAGGGGGACTAAAGACAAATGAACAGGGACTAAAGACAAATGAACAGGGACTAAAGACAAATGAACAGGGACTAAAGACAAAGTAATAGGGACTAAAGATAAAGGAAAATAATAGTTTTATTACAGAGTTTTTGGCGAAAGTGCTGAGTTCAGCCCTGCCAGTGGATAAGGCATGCCAGTGTTATGGAAAATACATATTTTTTATATATATTATTGAGAGGCAGGGGTTTTATCCTCGAGAGAAAAGGAAAGCAGACTGGAAGAATGTCCGATGCTGCAGCGAAATTCTCTTCTGTCAAAATTTTCTATCTTCTATCCCTTTCTCAGGTCTATCTGTGAAAAAATAAGGCATAGGGTAGTAAAACAGTGTAGGAAAAACTTAGAAGTGTAAGATTGTGTAGGAAAAAATAAGTAAGGCAACTAGACAGAAAAACTCTACAATTTTCTAACTTTGGGGGCTCTGAATGCAAACTGGGAAAAAAAATCTTTCTTTGGGCTTTACGGGTAGTAAAAAAGCTCTTCTCTGAGCTTATGGGGAAGAAAAAGTTTCCTGTGGAAGCTTTTGACCTGGGGACAGCTGAAATGCTAAGTCCAAGCGGCAGGAGAAAGTGATTTTTCCCTGAGGCAAAAATGGGGGTGTAAAAAGCCAAAGTTTAAAGTTGGGAAGTTTTGGGAAAAGTTGGTCTTTCTCTTGGGAGAAAAAATCTTTCTCTTAAACTAAAAGCTTTTCTTGGAAAATTTTTTGGGGAAAAAACTCTCTAAAAAGCCTTTATCTTTCTCAAAAGCTCTCTTAAACTTAAAAACTAAAGCCTTTAACTTTCTCTCTCAGAAGGACAAATTAGAATCACCTGAAGATACTAGTATGGGGACCACCTGTGATTAGCTCTAAGGGAAAACAACAAACCTCTTAAGACAGCAAAACCTAAGTTCTGACTTTCAAGCCTTAAAAATCCTCCCTGCAATGCAGGAGGCAGGGACAAGTTCTTAAAAACCTCTTCTAAGCTCTGTCTCTTCAAGCCAGTAAAAGACAGTGGGTCAGAGTACCCTGAGGGAAACACTTGGGAGAGTGTGGGTAAAGAGCTACAGAGAGCCCAAAAGGGCAGGAAACTTTACCTGAGAAAGGCAAAAAAGCCAAGCTTTTCAGTTACAGCGGAGCTGAGGCATCAAGGGTTTTTTGTTTGAGCATTTCAGAATGAAAAGGTGCTCCTAATCTTCCTAACGCAAAGATCCCCTGAAGCATTGTATCCTCGCTTCTGACCAAAAACCCAGAGGCGACTGGCCAGCGTCTCTGAGTTGGGGTGCATTTCGGGGATACTAGGGTTCCTGCAGTTGTAAACTTCCTGGAGCACAGAGCTGAGGCAGGAAGGTGCAGGACCCAGGGGAAGATTGCTAATGAACAAACAAAACTAAAGCCAGTGGGAACGGCACAGTTGTCTGCTGTCCTACAAGTCCCGGGTTGATAGGTCCACAGCTGCAAAAAGGAAATCTGAGAAAAACCTTTCCTATCAGAGTAAGGACCTTTCTGGGAAAACAGTAAAGCTAAACTGTGTCTGAAGCAGTTGTGCTGCTGAGTCAGAATGCTGTCTGGGGAAAGAGCCCAGCCAGGGCAGAACAGAACTATCCAGGAGTAAAGCTTTCTTTTCTGTCAGAGAAAGCACCTCTTTGAGAAAAGCTTTGTTTCAACTGACTCCCTGAGATGAGGGAGTGTAGCCCTGAGGAGTGATTGCCTCTGGCATAAGCTCTGTCCTTGAGCACCCAGACAAGCAAACACAACCCACTGGGGGACTGGGCCAGGTGAAGGCCTGATGAAGCAAAACGCCTGTCCTAATGGGAGTTTAGAGATGGCAAAAACCTCCCTTGTTAGATTTTCAGTCTGTACGCAAACCACACAGACCCCGAAAACAGAAATAGACAAAAAGCCCCTACCTTCAGTAGCAGGGAAAGCCGCCACTGTAGTGTCGGAAACTGTTTCTGGGGTAGAGGGGATAAACTGAGACCAAACTGGGAACTGTCTGGGAAAAAGACTCTGAAGAAAGAGAAGGGACATATTCCTCCCCAGAAAATGCATGACCTGAAAAAGCTGCTAGAATTTGAGGCAGATTCAGGGGGAGGAAAAAAAAAGCCCCTACCTCCAAAGGCAGCTAGCAGAGGTACAGAGCTGCAGACAGATACCTGAAGCTCTGCATCTAGTGGGGAAGGAACAAGCAAAATGAGATAGATCAGTGGTAGAAAATCTCTCTGAAGGAGCTATGGAAAAGCTGTTGTAAATGATCTTGTTTTTCACTGTCTGGCTAAGACAAACACAAGCTCCCTAGGAAAGTTGCTATCAGAAATGCCAGCCTCAATGCCCGCTAACGAGGCAGGTGCAGTTCTGATTTGGGGGCCCGTGTCAAATGAAGGAGAGACACCTGTTAAAGCCAGCTAAGGAGAGACCAGAACCCTCCCATTGTCCCATAATTGAAAATGTAAAATGCTCGTTCAAATCTCCCATTGCAAAAGCAAAAAACTTTGTTCAAACCTCCCGGGCAAGAATTTGTAAGCAAGTCTGGTAAAAAAGAACTTAGAAGTTGACTCTCAGACCCAAAAAGAACTATGGGAAACGACTGATATAAGGGAAATGATATAAGGGACTGATATTATTATAGACTGATATAAGGGAAATGCATTCTGGGAAAGGTAGTTTTTCAGCTAAAGATGGCGACATTGCCCTGAAACACTTTTGTCAGCTGGAAAATACGTTCATGGTAAACTTAAAATACAGCTTTTAAAAGAATAAGGAGGAAAATCATCTAAGAGTTTAAGTGTCTGTTCCAATGAAAAATTGAAAGGATACGGAACTAGATGCTTCGCGGTTTGGGGCTCCGTTGGTAAAATTCCTTATTTACCCTAATAGCTGTGCAAAGTTTTTATGGTAGTTGGATGACAAAAAGCTACCTATAAGAGCAAACAAGCCACTTTAAAATCCTTAAAACAAGGGAAAGCAGTTTATACACTGAACGTTGTCTTAGATATGAAGAAACTTATGTTGAAATTAAAAAAGTTCTTTGCCTTTTGAACAAATTGCCTGCAATGAGTGATTCCTCTGCAAATCTAATTAAGGGGATAAGAAACAGGCATTCAAAAAAGAAATGACTGCTTTATAGATGGGAAACAAACTTCAGAAAAATCTGTCTTTAAAAAAAAGCTTCACCTGAAAGTTCCTTATAAGAAATCAATGCTAAATATTACAGCTGCTAATAAACATCAGGAGTTAAAGCTAATGAAGTGAAAATACTAAATACAGTTCGGAGCTGTGCCACTTGTGGCTTTACTAGCTCCTTTAGAAAAATACTTTATATCACCTAATAGCTGTGCAGTACTCTGCGAAGAGCTTTACAGCAGCTAAACACGGTAATTTCACCCTCAGCGTGAAGTGAAGTTTTTCGGTAGAACAAACCAAAAGTACTGCTGTAGTAGAAATGTTTGTCTGAATTGAAGTACATAGTGGGAGCTATTATGAATTTGGGTGAAGGGACAGCCTCTAGTTAAAAACTGTTTACCGCTGACAGTGCATCTCTGCCGGTCCGGAACGGCTGAGAGAACTGGCAACTTTGGAGTGTGGTGTCATCCTGGGAAGGTTACAGTCCCCTAGCAACAACTATCATAATTCTATAACAACAACACTCACTAAATCCCAGTGCTTTATAACAAAGCTGACTATAAACTCTAAACTTTAGATATGATGTACGTACTTCCTGTCTAGTTAAGAGAATCTTTCTAATAGATACATATGATAATAATTAAGAGTAAGAAATAGAAAAAGATGAAGATGTGAGTTTGTAAAAATTCT